TTTTAATTTGAAGACTTTCGATTATTTTTAATCTCGGTGATCGAGTAGTCGTAATTACGACCTAAAGAAGAAAGAAAGAAAGAAAGGCATTCCATTAGGCACACCGAACTAAGAGACTTTTTGTAGTTAAATGTAGATTTCAGTTGTAAATATGTAAAATTGTCAGAAGTTTGGAAATATAGGCTTTATTATTATTATCCGTTACAATAAAAATTATCTTAGACAGAAATCGTTAAAAATAAATATCAATGTGGAGGAGCCAAACTACGACACGATTGGACGGCTTAAAAGGAGTGATGACAACGCAAGCATTCTGTTTAGCTGTGTGAGTAAGGTGACCAGAGGCTTAATCCTTCCCCACTTCCCCCCTTCTTATCCTCAAATTCCTAACAAACTACAACAGGCCGGCTACAACTTGTAACTCTCTAAACTCCTTTGGTTTTTGCGGGTTTCCATGGGCTGCGCCAATAGGATTTGCTTACCTATTTGGTCAGGTCCTTGTTTTTTAGAAACCTTGCCCCACACTTGGATTTTCTCCTGTGTCGTGACTGCGTTTAGAAACATTTAATTTCGCATGCACATCACACCCAGACCGGAGCAACAATTTGTGGATAACACAATGAGTTTCGTGGAAACCGAACCCGCGACACTATGCGCGACAGCCAGTTGCCCAGCTACAGCGCCAATAGAGTTGTTTGCTATTCAAAAAAAATAATATGAAAATCGTCAATAACAGACATTAATTAATTTAATTTTCATGCCTACATTAAATTCACACACTACATTAATATTGTACAAAGATTTTTCATAAAAATAATACTTAATTTATACAAAATAGGTATTGTAGAATAAAAGTAAATGAAAATCTATAAAATAAAAGTGACTAGTTCACGCGAACGATTTGATGATAAATGATTTCAATTCAGCCAGTGACGTTGTGACGGATTAATATCGGGCGTTGTGTGGCCGTTAAAATGGCGGATAGAAATAATAGAAATAGAAAGCACGCATATAATTAAGACGATTATAATCAAAGATATTATAAGTAAAATGGTATAGATGGTTACATAAACAACATTCGATTTTCAAAAACTTAAGCACACATGAATAATTCGTATGATACACGCTAAAGTGGGATGGCATGATTCAATAATCGCGAGTGAAAAAGAGACAAATATGAAAAAGTGTGGCAAGTAAGTCACATTTTAATGTATCACTTGCTGAGCGCTTGTAACTTATCTACACCTTTTTACTCATAATATCATTGATTATGATCATATGACTTTTCCTTTTTTGAGGACGGGAAATCATCTATTGCTTTTGTACTTTAAACTTTTTAATAGATGTATACGTAAATTTACATTATACTACAGATTTGTTTTGTATTATTTTCTGCAACTAAATGAGTATCCGGTTTGTCTCTCGCTATCTCTGTCTCCGAGCGTCGAGGATCGTGCGATGATTTCCAACCACCGTAAGCGCGGGCCCTCGCTAATGCAAGGGTAGCTTGGCCCACGACCAGAACTAGAGGCGAAGGTACAGTGCGTCGGGTTCAGGGTGCGTCTCAAAAGGCAATCAGACCATCACCACATACGATTCCGATTAGGACCGATGTCCAGCCAAGGTTGCGGGCAGAAAGAGTCTGACACTCCCTCTTGACCCACCCAGGGCCAGGAGCATCCATTTTATGATTTCCACCGTCAAAAAAATCCAAAATCAGGAAGATTTTGTTCATTATAACCTCTTATTTCATAGCCCCAGATTCTATGGCAACGTCAAATCCTGATTTCAATCCGATTAGCCGCATTTAGCGAGCCCCAATATTTCATACTGACTACTTCCATTGATTGAAATAACATCTAATGATTATATTATTACCACCAGTTGAAAGGAGAGCTCAAAAGCTAAATAAAATTCCAGACTGCTGGCTACATCTAAATAAAGATATATACATACATATAAGAAACAACAGTTTGTTGGAACAAATACATAATATGTTGCTATAAAACGAAAACAGAATGGCAAAAAAACTAGGAACAATCAGATTGTCTGTCTGTTGGCACATGGTGACTCTCCGCAACTAAGAGACGGATTTGAATAAAACCATTTCAATATTCAATATATTTTAATTGTGTGATTCATAAGCCCTTTTTTGTCAGGGGAAAATCATCCAATGACTTCTCCCGCCCAGGGTAAGGCGAGAGAGAATGTCAGACTCTTACTGACTAAAAACCCCCCCGTTCCTTCTCCTGCTCTGGGCCGAGGTCGCGGTGCCCCATTGCTCTTAACCCGCAGCCCCGGCTAGTGGTTCATAAGCCTGGGAAACTTATTGTATGGTATATTATTTGTTTTTGAAATTGCAATTAAACCCGTTTTAAGGTATTATTCTAAGAGCTGATTTTTTTAATAGTGACATAAATGTTATCTGAGGAATAAAATTGTTGCTGTCACTGTGCTATACAAACATTCTGACGAGACAGCATCATAATAAAGGTCATGGCACATTATACCGGCACCGCAACAGCACAGCTGCAGCACGGCGTCGCCTGGAATTTTGACTACGGCTAGCTGCCAGCGTGCTAACTACGCGTTGTCAGCAAGGTTCAAGCCCGTGCCGTGACGTGTAAGCCCACAGTCCGCGAGGTGTAAACTTGCTGTTACCGCGAACTTAATATTGTTTTAAGACATTTATGATTGTATAGGACGCAATGACGTTGTTTCGCTGCCGAGTTGGAGTCGGCGCGTAATGAGCATGCCGTCGGCGCGCTGTACGCATAAGGTCCGCTCGCTTGCAGCACGCGGGCTGCGAGCGGAGTTTGTGTGATACCGGCAAGCGCGCTGACTGCCCGCCGTTGGCTTTTTCATGTTGACATTATGAAATATATTATCACTAGAAAGACCAGAGTGGTCAAATGACCCCAATGAAATTTTTGATCAATCATATTATCAAAACCATAGCACTGAACTCATTGTCGTTTTATGACTATTAATATTTTGTCATTGTTTACATTATTCTGATATGGGTATACCGATAGCAAGATAAATACTAATTAAAAAAATATCACCTACCTAGAGAGACCGCAGTGGTCATTTGACACCACAGCGTGCTTGCTAGTTACATTTCGTGGAATATACTTGTGTTATGGGTAGTTGAAATAAAATATTTTTTCTTGTTTTATTCTTGTCAAAACAAAGACATAATTATCATGGGTCGCCATAATAATATGATGCCTCATTATCGTTCCCATTGCCCTTCAAAAATACTGGAAGTGTCGCAAAATTTACCGGACGATCAATCAGACGGTGAATCGACTGAAGAAGTGAGGCACATTTTGCATTTAGACTCAGAAAGTCAAGAAAGTGTTTACAATATTACACAAAATAGTGATTCTTTTAGGGATGATGATCCCACTCATATTCCGTTTGTGATAGTAAGTGTATATTATTTTGTATATTGATGTAAATAAAATAATATTTTTTTTACATTGAGAGAAGTGGAAACATTTTATTAGCGTTTACTCCACTGTTTCAGATTCAGTAGCTCTCGACTTACGTAGTGCAAAACCTAAGAAGAGGTCGAGGTCGAGGTCGAGGTCCCATATGTTTGGAAAGAAAAGAAAGCCGTCGACAAAATCAAAGTTCAGGCGAGTGGGTCGTATTGCGACCAATGGACCCACTGGTCGAAATGTAACTACTGATATTTTTTTCACCAGTGTAAATATGGCAAAAAAAACCTAATTGTAACACAGAACAAGTGTTTTATAATAATATTTTGGATTTGACAGCAAATGATTCTTGGATTTTGTACAAAACACTATCGAGAAAAAAATCAGTAGAGATAAGTTTATTCTTGACTTGACCAGTCGGCCAAGATTCCCACTCCCTGATGACACCATCTACTTCACAGCCTGATAATAGCATACCCGCTTGCAAAATTGCAGAAATAAAACCAATAAATCGTAAAAATCGTATAAATTCGTTGTAAAAAGCTGTTGTGTGGCTCTTGTAATGTAAACAATTAAATGTCAAAAATGTGACTAATATTTTTATGTTTTTTTTACGTAATATATGTTTAATTACTATTAAGTTGTTTTATTTACTATAAGATGTTAATCAATAAAACTTAAAACCATAATACATGAATAAAACATTATAACCCATGAATGGGTCATTTGACCCCACCTGGTCTTTATAGGTAGTTCAAAATTTCGGTCTTCCTTGTGTTATACTACACACGATTTAATTCTCTAAATTGAATGACAAGTTAAATGCTGGTGTGGAGCGGTGCTGTTGCGGTGCCGGTATAATGTGCTATGACCTTTATTCCCCAGATAACTTTTATCTAACCATTGAAAAATCAGCCATCAGAGACAGAAGTTGTGGGCTGAAAATAATTGAATAATAAATAAATAGTTCGGGAACAAATCCAAACTACCTTCTCTTGTAGTAATAATGTTTTAGATTAATTTCATCACGCTTACACGACAAGCATTGAGTGAAATATCTTACAAACACGATGAAGCAAGAAAATAAAACAACAAAATATCATTAAAATTAATATATTGAATTTTCCCATGTACAAAACCCCTTTATTTTAAATGTATAATAATATAAATAATAATTTAATGCTTAACACTAGTAGAATGCCTACCTATATAATAAAATTCCCCGTGTCAAATATTTCCCTGTGTAACTTAAGATACAAATATGTAAATAACTTCAAGTTTCAGTTATTCTTTCACTTGAACCCTTAAGCTATCTTAATGAATATTTTGTTTGGTACTGGTGTCCTTGGACTCTTACAAACTACTTAAATCTATCAGTTACTAAGTAAGTTACAGTATTAAAATACGGCCATTTAAAACAATATTTTTTTACACAACAATTAATAAATTAAAACATTTATATTTCATCAACAAATCACCTTGCGAAATACTCTTTTAGCATACAATGAAAAATTTAAATTAAATACAAAAAGTTATAATAATTAAACCTTATGTTTAGACTGCGACTTCTCTCGCGTTTTCAACGATACTGGTGACCACGTTATCGGTGGTTTTGCCATCCTGTTTTTCGTTCTCGACCAAAACTCTGTTGATGATGTTGGCACAGTCCTTGTTCTCAATGATAGAGATGTGGTTACCCTCGAGGAAGTGTACGGTGACATTGTTCTCTGTGTACTTGTCGAGACCGTAGTTTTCTTCTACAGCTACGAAGGACGGGTTCTCTTTGGGACGAAGGAGGATGACCGGGGACTGTAGCTTCCTGAAAGCCTTAGGGTCGAAGTCAAGGATGGTCTTAAGCCTGTCGAAGGAAGCCCTAGCGATGTTAGCGATGAACTTGTCGGAGTACTTGCTCTGGACTGGCGACGTCTTGATGGTCAAAGCGACTCTCTCCTCATAAGACTCGATTTCATTGAGTTTCTCCATCAGGCCCTTGGTGACGTCGTTGTTGGGGGCGACGATGTCGACGGTGTGACATAGCAAGTTGTTCTGCAGTTGGAAGTCGTTCTTGAAGCTGATGGTCATCGTGAGGAGAGCGTAGAGGAAGTCAGGGGCACCATCCAAGCAGAATACTGTTCCCTTGAAGCCTGAAAGTAATAAACAGATAAGTTATGTGCTGCGAATCTTGGGGAAGGCAATGCTGAGTAAAGCTAACACCTTCTTTAAGTACATTGTAAATTTTATGACACGCTTACCTTCCTTCTCCAGCCTGGAAGCCAACTCCAGGATGAGCAGAGAACCGTAACTGTATCCGAGGAGCCAGAATGGAGCACCAGGTGCTAGTCTTGAAATCACCGTCTGTATAGAACAAACAAAATTAGTTCTGGGTAGCTACAATACCTTAATAAAAGACAATGTAATAACGGACAAGAAAGAAAAAAGGACTGCAAAAATCTCATAAAACAATATGCATATAGGAGTGTGAAAAAGTTTAAGGTCTTGAAAGACTAACCTGGTGTAACCTGTTGACCATCTGGTCCATATTCTCGTTCTTGTGCTCCACGCCAAGCTGCAGTACGCAGACCTTGATCTTCAATCTCCTGCAGAGCGGTTCCAGGACTGCCGCACAGCCCTCCAGACCTGGCAGCATGAACATCACACGCTCCATCACGTGGATGGCTTCCTCACCCTAAAAGAACAAACACACATTACTTTACTGCTAAAATCAAAGAGAAGATGATGAGTTTTATAGTGATTCCTTCTTATCGTTCTAATGGGAATTTGTCAAACTATTTAAATGAACGACGTATCACGACTAGATTCAAGCTACGCTAGGGTCCATAGAAAGATACAGACTAAAAACAGTTAAGTGAGTAAGCAGTAAAAGGAAATTAATTTAATATGTATTTTGTTAACGTTACTTCTTTCCAAAAATAAACATTAATTCTCGTATATAGGCCCCAAATGTTTCATAAAGAAATATGATTTCACGAAACGAACACAATAGACGAAGCTGTCACCATTCGATATGTTACGTACAGAACACGAAGAAAACGCCACAAAAATACTTTCTTTCGTAAACAAAGAAACTGTTATAATAATAAAAATAAAAGTAAAAGGATGTTTCGAATCTGGTCGGAGCAGGAAAGTTGTTTAGAACTTGCACCCCCGAGATGTCTCCCATTTATCACGACTCTCAACTTCGCACCAGTTTGTTATTGAATGATCTATTAGAAAACTTAGAACTCGGTAGAATGCTGCTATTGCCAATTGAAGTGTAAACAGAAGAGAAGTTTAAATATAAATTAGCATAAATGGAGGGGAATCAGATTAGTCTACTTTTAAACTAGCGTGTAGGCTTTATCAATTGAAGGTATACAGGTAATTGTGAACTGGCGCGCCATAACACACTATTTGGCTTAGAAGATTAGGTTTTTTGAAGGAAAAAAATAACAAGTAGTTCCTTTCGTAGAAGCGCTGGGTGAGGCGAGTGGAACTGTTAAACTTTTACTGACTTAAAACCAGCCAGGCTTGGGCTGCAGAATATTATAACGCTTGCACTGCCCCAGAGAAGGAAATAGGCTGCGGATTGTTTATACCTAAAAATACGTCGTCGCTTTGTTGTGTCCACGAGAAATAAGTATTAAAGACTCTAATCGTTTGTGGGATTAAAGAAAAGTATTGAATTTTCATATTTTTATAAACTAAACTGACCTCAACTCCATCGCTGACCATAGAAGGCATGTACACAAGAGGTTCAGAAGCCGTGTTCTCATCTCCGAAGTTCCTCATGAGTACTCGAAGACCAACAGCTCCTTCAACGTTGGCGGGACGAGACGCTGATGTAGATGCAGCCGCTTCACGCTGTGCTGTTAGTTCTACCAGCCTAAGGGAAGAATTGGACGATGTAGAACATTATATCAATAGACGTGGAAGATCATGAATTTAAATGAAAACTTTCTTAGTGAGTCTATATTGTCATTTACAGGGTGTAAAAAGACATTTAACGAAGCCGAAAGCCACGTATTCTACCCATTATTTGGATCTTTTTTTTCTTTAAGACTTATAGCTGGGACTCCACGGGTTCTCAAAATATTGAAGCTCAAAGATGCATTTTTTGCGCAATCGAATTCTAAGTATTATTACAAAACTTTTTTCCAAACAAACATTACCTGAATTTTCGATTTTTCTAAATAATTTACGCAATTGAATAAATGCCGACCCGCTCACAAAACATCGGGCATCTCAGTAGAATTTTTATTTTACAGAATTGTTTTGTTGTTGCGAAGTAAAACGTCGACCTACGCACAGCGTTTTAATGCTAAGCTGTGAACCTACGCACACAATGACACGAAGCCCGTTTGCTTTACATTGCGCGCAATAAATTTTTTTTTTATACCTAAAAATTAAAGTCATTTCCCAGTGATAATTTTAGCGTAAAGCTACTTAGTTAAAACTGCAGTATGCGTAGTTAACGTCTTCGTTAAGTGTCTTTTTACACCCTGTATATATACATATGTGTCATCTTCGATTAAGAAAAAAGCTACTCAATAATCATTATGTGTATGGAAACGGAACAAAAGTTGGATCGTCTCAAAAGCGTGAAATATGTATTACCTGGCGAACGTCAATGTTCTGATGTCCTGAGCAGTAAGGAAGATCTCGAATTCTCTCTCCAAAGTCTGTTTGATTTCGACAGCCATCATACTGTCCATACCCAACTCGGCTAGAGAGACTTGTTGTGATACCGTCTTCAAGTCCTTAATACCTGGTAGAAGGAAAAGATAAAACTGTTAAAAAACAAGTAAGGTCACAATGTATATGACAGATTTTTCTGTGGAGGCTAAATTGCTACTTATTAACTTGTTTTCTTGGTCGCGCCCAATTAAGGTTCCCCAAATTAGGTAGAATGCATTTTATATGTAGTTTTAGACATATTAATTTTGCTCGCTTTTCTCCATCAGAATTTACACTTTTGGAACGAGCAAATAGGTTCACTAAGAGGACTGACATTTTTATCTTTAAGTTCAATTTGAAATTCAAAACTGCCTGTAAGGGTTCATTTTGTGTGAAATATATGAAATTAGCTACTCTCGCGCTTTTCCACCCGCTGCTCAGCTCCATTTTATCGTAGTGTGATGTTTTGTTATGTCGTGGTGGCCCGGAGGTTAAGGAGCCCGCTTCTCATGCTTGAGGGCGTGGGTTCGAAACCTGGCAAGTACCAATGTGACTTTTCCGAGTTATATGTACTTTCTATGATTATTTAGACACCTCTGACATACGGTGAAGGTAAACAGCATGAGGAAACCTGGACTTATAATCTCTAATTATTAGTTTGAAATTGCCAACCCGCATTGAGCAAGCGTGGTGATTAATGCTCAAACCTTCTCCGTGTGAGAAGAGGCCTTTGCTCAGCAGTGGGTACTTATGGGCTGATGATGTGATGATGTGATGTGATGTATTGTAGCCTACAGCACTCAGGAATATTGTAGCTTTCTATCAGTGAAAGAATTTTGGCAAGCCGAGCAGCGGTTCTAAGGATTATCTCCTGCATACAAACTTACAAACACTTACAAATTTTACCTCTTTATAATATTAGTATAGATAGGTTCTTCTTATATGCCCACTTCATTGCTGGCACCGAAACAACAGCTTCTTTGGTTATTAAGCGATAAATTTATTACAATTGACCCTTACTTTAAAAGGCCAAAAAAGAACTTTCAATGACACAACAATATTATGGCTGAGCGTAAAGTTGATTCAAGACAATCAAGGTTCGTAATGATGTATATTAGTATATCTTTATAATCTTGCTTCATAATATTGAATCTTATTGTACAGAACTTAAATAACTCAATAGTATTAACGACAATCAAAGGAGTTACTGGGATGTAAGTAATCTTGCGACAGATTATATTGATTATGGTTACAGAGTGAAGGTCTCATTACTGTTGTTTAATTACAAGCTTTGTTAACGAGACTGTAGTCTTAGCTTATCTATCTTTAGTAATTAGTAATTATTTACAAGCTAGCTAGCTACCTGTCTGCGGTTTAGTTTACTTTCCCATTAAATGTGATGTTTCTTTTGTTGTTGTCACATCATTAATTGTATCTTATGGATGACCAACACATTATAGGCAGTTTTTCAGCAAGTATAAACATTTCCGGACAAACAATCAAACCAATTGTAATAGGGCACATAGCATTTTTCTTTTGGATTGCATTAATATAAGTTTTGTTTTTGTACATCGTGATTACATCTGCTAAAGTGAAATCAGCAATACTGATATTTGCATCATTGGCAGCCTTACAGCAAGCATAAATACTTCCGGACCAAACTAAAACTCATTAATTGTAAGAAGGGAAACAATATTTTTCTTTGGACAGAATCAAAATCAATTTCGTGTAAGCAAATCCTGCTTGCATCTGCTAAAGCATATAAGTTGTTATAATTTATTTGTAAATAAAATCATCAAACTCACCCATAATCTGTGCCACAGCGTCCACAATGTTTCCACATCCTGAACCTCCAGCCTTCTTCTCAGCCACTACAATTGAGGACACGATAGGAGCGTCCTGCTTCATGAACTTGTCAAGAGCAGTCAAGCAGGAAGATATTCTCTGCTGCAGGGTACCTCCGATTTCAAGTTGGACATCATCGTCCTGCATGTCGGCTACTAGACCCACCTGGAGGTTAATAAGAATTAGTTTTGTGCATCTTTTAATAGATTCAATTCTTAAGCGAAATGTCGGATCCATTACGGATAGTTTTAGTAATAAAACCGATATTGTAGTAAAATTTGGAAAAAAATAGTTTTACAAGACTGAAAAAGCGTAAATGTGTGCCTCCGGTTAAGTGTGTTAAGTCAAAATACTTCAAAAGCAATCTTTCTAAATAAAGCAAAGTGTATTGGAAAAATCATTAAGTTTATAATTCTCCAAAAATGTTCAGATTTGAATAATAATAAAATGAATGGAACAACAGTTACATTCTCAATTGCTTTATGCTCATACTTACATCACCAATAGCTCCCCATTGCACAGCCAGAGCTGGGAGGCCGAGCTTCTTCCTCCATTCACAGATCCTCTCCATCACGGAGTTCGAAAGACCGTAGTTGGTCTGTCCAGCGTTACCACGACCACAGGACACGGACGAGAAGATGACGAAGTCCCTGAGAATAGAAGAAATAGATTAATTCTGGACTCAGTACTTACTCTTCATTTCTTGCTTAGAATATTTTAAATAATATTATAATTAAAAGAAAAATTAAAGCCTAGACGAAAAATACTAATAAAAACGGTCGTTGTATGTCAGCTAAAATTAGTCTCGTTTATTCTGTTCATCTTCAGTTCAGCAGAGCAAAAAACTCTAAATTATTTAGATAAAGAACTTACTTAAAACTACGAACTTCTTAGACAACAGTAAAAAGATACTTTTGTTGAAAAGTTACCGTTTCAGAAAACCTTGTATAACATAAACACAGCTAGCTGTACGCGTCAAGTTTCGGCCAGCCTTTGTTTTTCCATTCGCCAGGGATTAATAAATAAATTCTGGACACTATAATTGAACTCCCGGGGTGAAACTTCACTCATAAAACTTGCTCAATAATCTACTGAAGTGAGATACTTCAATGTTGCTATCATAAAATAAAGGTAGCGCCAGATTTTATTAAATTTCTCCACTTATTCTTTTGAGTGGTATATTTTTGTATACCAAGCGTTTGAACCGGTCGGGTTGTAGGATTAATGAAATATATTATACACGATACAGTAGTATTTTTTAGTATGGGGCATCGCTTATAAAAATGAATAAAAAAGAAACACTAATGAGAGAAGAAGGCTAAATAATAAGAAGCTGCAAGTTTAGGTTCTTTTAAACTAATTGACTTACTTCAAGTCTGGGCACAGTTTCCTTGAAAGTTTGTCCAAGTGCATGGTAGCAAGAGCCTTCGGTGCGAATGATGTTTTGAAGGTCTCAGGGGTTTGGTTCTGGAAGATGGAATCCTTCAGGATGACAGCCAAGTTGAAGATAGCGTGCACGGGTCCCATGCTGAGCGCCATCTTGAGCATTTCCTCACATCCAGACTCAGTTGTGACGTCATGTGTTGAAATTTGAACGTCAGCACCGTATGATGCCCAAGCCCTAGAAACACCATTAAATACTAAATCTCAAAATTCTAGTACAATTGAAAATTATTCATCAGTCAACGGATTAAAGTGAAAAATGCTTCATATCATGATCTTAATCACAAACCTCAATCGCGATGACTGGTATCCGTTGGTGATGCCTCTGCGGGAAGTGAGCAGGATCTTCCTGCCGCCTCGCATGATGAGCCAGTCAGCCAATTCTAGACCGAAACCTCCAAGACCACCGACTACCACGTATACGTGGTCTTCGTGACAGATGTACCTGATGAAGGACATGAAAATGTTAAAAGTGTTGAAGAAGTAAGTAGCTACAGAAGAAAAACCTTCAAATACTCTCAATGAAAGAAAGAAAGTAAATACATTTATTGAGGTGTGTCATACACCCACACAAAGAAAAACAAAAGTTATAGTAAAAACTGAAAATAAACGACTACAATAAGAAACAAAAAACGAAGAGAAAGTGCATAACAGGAAATTTACGTCACACCTACCTGAAACGGCTTTTGCTCAGCATAATATTGAGAAGCTCTTAATATTATGCTGGACAAGGTCTCTGGCGCGGATTTTCCGCGAAACCCAATTTTAATGACTGGGTGTGTAGATGGGTATTGAATCTTACCTAGGTACAGCGTCAATGGGTGTTGCTACGGGTTTAACAGGACGGTTGCTGCGCTCTTCTTCACGGATCTTGACAATGACCTATAACAAAAACAAAGTATCATCAGCTTGGTAGATACAGAACTACATTTATTCTCTTTAAAAATGCAATATAATTTTTAGTTTCATGTAAAGTCGCTTACCTTTCCGATGTGTTTACCGGCAGCCATGTAACGGAAAGCATTTTCAACTTCGTTGGACTCAAACGTGCAATAAGTCAGAGGTCTGACGGCACCATTCTCGATACCACTGAGGAGCAGGTCTTGCAGGCGCTGGATGATAAAATAGATAGATTTAAAATAACCTCAAATGTAAAATGAAGTACAAGTAGTGTACAAAGTGAAAATAGTGGTGTATAAAATGAAGTACAAGTAGTGTACATAGTACAAACCTTCCTGAAGAGATGGTTCTGGTCGAAGATGTAGTCCAACATAATGCCGTGGAAGGAGGTTTCTTTCAAGAAGAAGTACATACCGATGGGCGTGTTGTTACTGATGTCGAATTTACCGATCTCGAGGAAACGACCACGGTACGCCAAGCAACGGACAGAGGCCTGTTAACAGAAGACAATTTTGGATACACACATTTAGATATGCAAAAGATTTCAAGATGACTAGATGATAAAAATTTTACTAAAATGATGCTGACGGAAAAAAACGTGATTGAATTCAGTCATGATTTTCATTATTGCTGAGGTTGTTTCATAAAGATGTTTAAGTAATTTGATAACTGACCTGTAGTTTGTCATCTGACAAGGAGTTGAGGACCATGTCGACACCCTTGCCGTTGGTCTCGCGTCTGATCATATCCTCGAAGGAAGTGTCACGAGAGTTACCGATGTGGCTGTCTGTTTTAGAGAAGATATAAAGATTTAGAGTTAAATGAACAAAAACTGTTGTATTGACGAAGATTTTTATACGTTAAAGGCAATAGAAGACAAATCGGTATCCAGAGTTCCAATTAAATATATGTATACGGTTAAGAACAAAACTGAAGCCTATCAAGACTGTTATATCTTAACCAACCTTTAAGTTGTGGGAACAACTTCTTGATAAAGGCTCTCTTCTCAGCGGTACCGACGGTGGTGAAGACTTCACAACCATAGTGGAGCGCCACGTTGATGGCGGCCTGACCCACTCCTCCGGAACCGGCGTGGATAAGGATGGACTCACCGCGTTGGATTTGACCAACCATAACCTGAGAGGAAGTTAGGTGTTTAAATAAGTGACAAAGATTTAAAAAACCTATTTATTTATCACTTCTACAAAATTACACACTTTCAAGTAATTGAAAAAGCAAGTATTTTTTGTTAAGGTTACTTTTTATGGTTATTCTATTTGTTGCAGATAAAATCATAAGCTTAAATATATCTGAGTAATTCCTTAACTATAATCCAGTTCTACCAAAAAAACTCGAGTTCATTTGCACCTAAGTACTATTTAAAAGTCTAAAAACGAAAATACTGAAATGTTAATTTACCATGGCGTAGTAAACAGTTCCGTAAGCGACAGGCACGGTAGCGGCTTCTTCGAAGCTCCATTCATCAGGGATGGCCCATAGGAGGAACTTGTCTCCCTCAGCCAAGTTAGCCATACCACGGTTACGGATCATACCCATAACACGGGAACCGCTGTATATAGGACCAGTTATGTTAGTAAAAGAAACGGTGTCAATAATAGAAAAACTTTCGTTAATAATAATAAAGGTGAAGAGGATGGAAAAGATACCTGCATTTTGAAATAATAATTGATTAAAGAAAATTTTATTTTACGACAATTTCGGTAGTGGTAACAAACGTAAATATTGTAAGAATAACTTCTTAATAAATTATTAGCCAATGGTAAAGTTAGGATTTACAAATAATTAAATGAACTTACTTGACGGTCTTTCCGACGATCTCGAAACCTTGTACGCACTCCTGGGCTAGACGACCACGAGCAACAGCGTCTACCGTGACACGACCAATGGCAGTCATAACGTCACGGAAGTTCAATGCAGCGCAGTATACCTGATGGAAAAAATTACATCAAATTCGTTATAGAATTGATAACAAACAATGCAAAAATATTTCACCATTTTCCATTTTTTTTTTTGTCGTCTAGCTTTAATCAAATTTTAGCCAACAATCTTTATATAAAAACAAATCTGAGACTTAATAGATGACTCAAATTTACTTACGTGGACCAGCACTTTTTCCTTGTTTTTGAAGACATGGTTGTCTCTGATGGCACCTTCCACCCATCTCAGGGAAGAAAGGTCTCCGATGGTAAGGGTATTGACATAAGCGTGGTTAGCACGAACTGTCTCCAAATCACCCAAAAGAAGATGGCGGTATGTACCCCATTGTCCCTGGAAAAAAGAAAATATTGTAAAAATTTATGAAAAGGCTTAATTGTTAATTTTGATTAATGTCCAATATGTCTCCATTGTAAATAACAATGAGATTTCGATTCGACTGGACATGTTTGTACAACAATTTATCACTACGTTGAGTTTTAATTAAGCTGTTTTACGGTTACTTCGTTATCTCTTATGGAAAGCAAATATCTCAGAGATTGAACAAGCATTTACAATCAATTGCTTTTTTAAATTAATTATATTTACTTACATCTTGGTATACATTCAGAGCCAAATCTTTGTCTAGCTGTTCTTCATAGAATTCCAAGTCAGGGTTGAATGGTGGGGCAGATGGGTCAGAAATAAGGAGACCATACACGATCTCACCACCAGGCTCCTTTCTTAGACAGTTCACTAATCCCAAGAGACCGTTGATGTGTTCATCTTGTGTGTAAAGAACCACTTTCTGGCCTTCTTTGAGTTCCTCCTTGACTTTGTCGATCCATGCGAAAGTATCATCAGAAGCCAAGATTCTGACGAACTTAGCTGGCCTAGCTCCCACACGTTTTCTTAGTAGTACTATGTATTCGAAACCTGTGTCTTGAATGGTCACGATGTCGTACTTGTCGGAGTAATCCTTAGGGTTGGGGCGTTCCTTTTCGCGACTGATGATGAAGGCCTTATCACGGAGGGTGCTAACTGCTTGTTGTAGAATCTATTTGATAGAAAAACGTACGATATAAGCTCACGTGTACTAAAATAGTGTATTTAAACAACCTTATTGATTTAATCAATTAGATTTCTCATAGAATACACTTTTTTCTTACCTCAGGTCTGCCAAGAAGATTAGCACCAATAAATAGAATAGTGTTACTCTCTCCAGACAGTTTCTTATTTTCAACGGTAATGTTGGATGGCATCTCAACGGGCTCTTCAGAAATGAGCAATAGCTCAGCCTGGACCAAGGGGAGATCTCCAAGCATATCTCCGATGTTTTCAAGGATGGGTTTCAGATCATTCTTCTTGTATTCCTCATCGCACAGCTCAATGCTCTTGACCTTGTAAGTTTGGATGTTCTCAAGAACCAGCTGGATGTTAGCGCGGAGAATGTCTTCGATCTGCAATGGAACAACACTGTTAATAATGACTTCTAGATTCATAAATTCAAAGCATTATTTTATTTTGATTTACCTTCATCTTGGACTTGCCGTAGTTGGGCACGAACTCGTTCTTCTCAAGTACGGGCACTCCAAGAGGCAGCCTCTTGGTGATAGGGGTAGCATGCAGACCACGGACTTCGACACCACCAGCCCTAAACAAAGAGAATTGGTCATCATACAAAATTTATTACATCTAATAAAGCATTTTTTATAATAAAACAGAACCAATACTTGTGTTTTTGGAATAAAAAAAAGATTCCAAAAATAACTTCTGCAATTAATATTTCCGAACCATTGTAAGGTTATTTACTACAAAAAATATTTAACTTTCATCTCATTATTTGCCTCTTGTTTATTCTTAAAACTTTGCCTTTTTACTCTTTGCAAAAACTTAAAAGATTTTCATTTAGGAAAATGGATAAGGATTAGTACTGTAAACTTTTTGTAGGCGAAACTTAAATTAGATTACATCGAATAAACGGCGTTTTGCCTTATCTTAAAATCGTACCACGTACTGGCAATAAATTTGGAGCTATCTACGGCTTTGCTGAAAGTGATCCTAACTAAATTATAAATGCTAAGTGTGTTTGCAAAGCGTTTGTATTGGTGTCCCTCGGTAAATCTGTTTGTAGCATAGCTAGCACATTTTGATAGTTCATTTAAGTTATTGATGATGTGTTTTAGGATCGAACAGGTGGGGATTTATTTAGCTCTCAGATAGTAGTAGCGGATCTCAAAATTATTTTCTATTCTAAATGTTCTTTTTTAGTTAGAACTTTTTCTGAGTAAAACGTTGTTTTTTTGTTTTAGGTTTTATTCAATTTTCTGCTACGTTGGGGTCGTATACAACGGCTGGTATCACAGAGTTCGAAATGAAAATTGTATACGTAAAAGCCTGTTAGAGTATCGAGCGTGTATTGTAAATCTACCTACTGCTTTTTTAACAAGCATATTGTTATTCCATGTTTTTTTTATACCTTTACAAACGGTAAGTAAAGATTCCAATATTTGTTCTAGAAAATTGATGTATTCCCGAGAGAATATCAGGGAAACTATTTTTCCGGGCCCAATGTATGACGTATAAAATTGGGGTACGTAGCTTCATTGCTAAATATTTAATTTTTCATCCCACGAGAGTGTAGTGGGCAAAGTTTGTGTGAACCAGCTCGTAAACTATACGTACGTGATAAACATTTCGTTGGTACTACTATCATTTTATAGTGTTAATTTACTACTTTTTGAGAATAATTTAAACGCATGTAGCTTAGTTATACATCCCACTAAAGTTGAATTTGCCTTCATTGGTTTATTTTATATGTCACTTCTAGCTATAAGGGGTTAAGCTGTCTACAAAGGAACGTTTTGTCTGTAGCCTCCTAGTTGCTCCTTAAAGATATTTGCACCGCCAAAATTGTTTTTATCAATCATTTAGCAAAGTTTTTGATAAAAACATTTAGCAAAATTTTTAATAAAAGAAATTGATCCTAATTGAATGACATTACAGTGAGGTTATTAGATGTAAAATGGCGTGTTTTAAACATTCTATTAATTGGAACATTATTTTATTATTCATGACAAACATTTTTAGACTATTACTGAATATAGAACTCTCCAAACTTGTTGATTTGGATATAAAAAAATATTTTCGAACATCGATTTTCTAAAAGTCCCACCCACAGTAAAAGCTGTTCATAAAATTATAAGTACTTTCAGCCCACAAAACGTTATTAATGTATAACAAATAAATTGATGTATAACAAAGCTCAGTCGTGCGTGAATTTTCCTCATCGACTGCTACCAATACATCGAACAATAATTCCAGAAAGGGTTGATTAAATACGTAATTTATTAAGGGTTTCGGTGTAACTAGGTAATTAATCTACCTTATACCGTATGGCGACATAATAGAATACAATTTCGGTTACACTTTCACTTTAATTTTGGGAAAATGGAGGCGTAAGTATGAATGTTATGGTTTTTATAAATGTGCAATTTCGAGTAAGAAAATCCATCTTCGTTTATGTACCCAATAAACTTACGTGGCAAATTCTTCTTACAAATTATGGTATGTATTCAAATGTATCATCTGGAACATAGTGTCTCCCACCAACCCAGACATTGTCAAACAAATCCTAAGCTTATGTATTTCAAAAGAAATCTAGGAAGTGGTTATGTCTAACTCTTGAAGGTTATTGTCCAAAAGTAGGATTAATTATTTTAATTTAAATAAATCTCACCTGATAACATCGACATCAGGGTACACGCGAATCTCAAACGAATTCTTGTTGGAGTCAGGGTTCATTTTGGAAATGGCGTTATAATGCATGTTGGCATCGATGGAGAGTTTCTCAATCCTGGTGGGTACGAAGAGACCCCTGGTGTCTTGGCCGATGATCTTCATCTGCAGCATGCAGTCCATAAAGGTGACCCAGTTGTTGACCCAAGTGAGACGACCACGGGTACCTTCGACGTTGCATCCGAGGACGCCACGGAAGAGACCGCTGTTGAAAAGAAAGAAATAAATAATAGTATTGGAATAAGTCTCATCACGGTTAAAAATCGTTCAGAATATCAGAACAGGCGAATCAATATCAGGAATCAACATCTATCATATCCACTTAATGTTACACTAAAAATAGGAAGATTGGAAAACAATGTACAGTTTAACGTTACGCTTACGCTTTTGGAACTTAACGTTTAAATTATTTATGAAATTGGTCTTAAAATTAGGTCATCTCCGTGACATTTTATTAAAACCATTTAATTCCATAAGTGCCAGCCTAAATAAACTTTTGGGCTTAGTTACAATTACAAAGACATTCAAAGACTAACAAGTTGTATACAATACTATCCTTTCAGCTCTAAATTGTTAAGTTAATGTCAGTTAAAACTTCAAAGTTATATTTCGTGTTTCTATTAAGATGGAGACTGAAGTCTTTTAAAAAGCAAGGCTTTCAAAGGACTTCGTATTTATGCAAATGCTTCACCAATCAGAAATACCGATAAGTTATAATACTCAAACTTTATTTGACTACAAAATATGTAGTTTTCTAAAATCAAGAAACTATAAGAGAAAATTTTCAGAAATGATTATAAACTCTACTCTTAAACCAATTGTGGAACTATGCTGTTACCTGTACTGGTATCCTCTGAGACGTAGTTCTTTGTAGAAGTCCTTGGTCAGCAAGTGCTTGATAGAGGGACCAGTAACTTCAGGCAAGTGTGGGAGTACCCTGAAGTCTTGGCCAACGTTCTTCTTGGCGTAGATGCGACCAGTCACGATGGAGGCACCACTTTCAACGATCTAGAAGAAAGGATAAATATATGAGAACCAGTGAAAGTGTGTTTTGTTTTGATTATAAGTCAGATGCAACTCTTATTCTAGCAAAAACCTATCGTTAACAGCAAAGGTATTGCGTGAAAGTCTTAAATAAGGCCTTAGTATGTATTTTGACCCTCAAGAATACTCGACCCAATACTTAGGCTACCTTAACTCTAAACAGTAGCAAAAAATCTCACCTCGAAGTTACCACTGCCCTTTTGGATCATGATGATGAATTCCAGGTTTCCTTCTTTGGGAATGTTCGTGGCTCTCTGGAAGCGCACGTTCTCGAAGACTACTGATACTTCAGTGTAGAGCTCTCCCATCATCATACCGAGGGTCTCCCAGACGAGGACCAGGTAACCGGTGGCAGGGTATAAGTTACGGCCTGTAGAGAAAAAGTTAGGCGAATACTATTTATGGCTAACAAGAATGTATTGTTTAGACCTAAGAACTCTTCTCTAGGAAAGTAAAATTAAGTAAGGATTCTAATGAGGAAGACAAAGTAGTTATTTGAATAAAAAGACTAATTGGATTTTAAAAAATCCATCTAACTAGAAATTTTCGATTGGAGTTCTTGCTATTATTATAAAGTATACATTAGAAGTTAGTTATGCATAAATAAAAGAAACGACAATAGCTAAAACTGAGGTCAATGATGAAAAACAACTAGTATTTACCGTCCACGACGTGACCAGCCATGTATTCACAGTCCTCATCAACGATGGACATCCTGACTGTCCTCTCACCAGACTTCATCTTTTCTTGTGCCTTGTATGATGTTACGTACCTAAAGATAAAAGGTAAAATTATAAATTTATATATCCAGAATATTACTGTAAAATGTAAAAATCAACTGCAAGATGGAAAACTGACTAAGACTAAAAAAATTGACTGCATGGTTGACGCGGTGGCTGGGCAACCAGATTGCAAGACGCTGTGCAGCGTTTTTCTCCTGTTTTTCGGGGTCTGGGTGTAATGTGTATGTGGAATTATACTTTTGTAAATGCACTTACAACACAGGAGAAAACCCTAAAGCGGGGCATAGTTATCGTCTTTAAAAACTATCAAACAAACATACAGAGATTGTTGAAAATCGTTTGAAAGACGTCAAGAAAATCAATTAATTATACAAATAGAGACGTGGTCTTTTTTAACTTAAATTCCATTTTTAAAGCTACTCTATGAATCTATCCTGGTTAATGAAGATTCCCACTAACTGGAAGCTATTACCAATCTATTCTGAATAGCATTTAATCTATAGCTTCGATTGGAATAGTATTCAGTGCACAATTACTCCTAACTTTCAACAGGAGTTTGAGCCAAGTCCGTTGATATCGAAGTTCTAAGATTGATAGTAGAACTGTGTTTACCTAGGAAGATAAATTAGTTTCAGCTTTGTTCCTGTTTATCTTATTAACTGTATATCATTTATGAATTTGCATTATTTCATTTTTTTCCTATAGACTTTTTCTAAGCAAAACAAATGAATGCTGTTACAATTTTTCTCCACTATTTAATAAATGTTGTTTATACCTTCATAATAATAAATTTTCCTCTTTAATCACTCTATCGATTAAGAGAAACCACATCGAAATCCATTGCGTAGTTACAAAGATTTAAGCATACATAATGGACAGAGAAAGCAACTTTTTTATATTATAGAATAATGATGTCACAATAATGAAACTGTTTTGTCTTACAACGTAGGTTTATTTATAAACGCATCACATACTGATCCTGAATAACAAATTGTGAATTGTCCCACTTCTCCTTAGTTTATCTTGTAGAGTAATCATAAAAAGTGTTTTTTTGTCGCTTAGCCTAACAAAGGACTTCTGGGTTGTGTTTATTAAGGACATTTTTGATTCCAAGAAAAGGGGACCGTGAAACAAGTACTGATTTTATCTAGATAGAAGTTTTATAAGAAATCATATACCTAAGTGAGTTTTTTCTCTGTATTCAATAAACAATATATTGTCATTGTTATAAGAATAAAGACATCATTATTTGAATCACAGTGACCCAAAATACAAAGACTTGAAATGTTTTGTTTTCACCATTTTATGTAATTTGGACAAAGTTTGAGCTTGTTAAATTGTTACTGAAGTTGTGATCTTAAGGACGTTTTAAGAATTAGGACGAGACGAAACATTGGATTACAAATTAGACTATCGATTATTTATTTATTTGATGTTATTCGAAAGAGTGTGATTAATGTTTACAATTCAAATATTGATAGAGATGAATACAAATCGTAGATTAAATGAAAATTAATCACTTATTGTGCCGTAAAAGAAGTATCATGTCCACTCTATGTATTTATATACCCATTTGTTATTTATGCACACACATATAGTAAACAAATATAGAAACTGGAGTATATGATAGGTAGTGCATAATTTTGTCTCACTATAAAACGTCAAAGAAAATACCATGCCATAAGTTTAAGTATAAAAAATATTTCTGAACAATATTTTATGGAAAAAATACCCATTGAAGCGAACAATAAATATTTCCTCCATAAATCTCCCACATGCATCAATGGCATTACTAATCCTTTTCGAACCGCATTGCAGTAATTCAAGTTCATCAATCATATCAAAAATGAAACAGGGGTTTGTTGAAAAATGCTTTGCTAACGTCCCAGTATATTGAAGTTGGCACAAAGTGGATACTATAGATCACACCCGGGCGATTTGTTTGTGGCCAACTGACTTATGGACGGCAATTAATAAACCAAGCTCTTTATTGCATTGAAGTTTCGGCTGCGTACCGTTTCAGGGTTAGTCTGTGTGGATGTGTGGAAAATGGAACATCATATTTTTTCAACGCAGGTAAATTTTTATTTAAGTAATTGTGTTTGATTAAGTTGCTTGTTATTGTAGGTCATTTTTTTTCAAGTAAAATGATGACTATATTTTTGTGTCTGGGCAATTTATAGGGTCATTTGTTACTAGTATTAAGTATAAAAATCCTAAATTATTATTTCGCTGCTAATAGACCATCTGTTTTGATTATTTGTGTAACCGAGCAAAGTTTCGGCACGAAAGAGCTCAACCGGAGTGCTACAATCGTGTCCTTACGGAAAGCTGGAAATAACATGCATTGTATTTGGTTGTAGAAGTAACGTTGTCAGAGGTCCGATCCTCTCCTCCCCTTATCCCTAACCCCAAAGAGGCTGGCAACGCACTCATAATTCCTCTTATGTTATGGATGTCGATAAAAATATACCTATTGTCAAATGTAAATCATAATAACTCACCAATCTTCACTGTGTTCCCATTCGACGAGGTGGGAAAGCATAGGCGTACCCTGTGACACTGGGAACGGCACATGTGGGTAGATGTTAGCGAGGTGTGGGTTCAGACCTGACTCGTAAAGTCTGTGGAATAAAAACAGCATTTAAAATATCTATTGGAATTTGCTTAGTTTATGATAATGTGAAGAATCTTAACTTACTTTCCGAAAGCAGTGAAGAGAACCTGGACATTGTCTGGGTGTCCTTTCTGTGTCAAAGCAACGTTGATGACGTCCTTCTTCAGAGATCTGCGCAGGATGGCTTGCAGCAGGCCGTGAGGAGCGATCTCGATGGTGATCGCGTTAGAGTGGATCAGACGAGCTGTCTCCTCGAACAAGACTGGGCTCTGTTGTAAGCAAAAAGAGATATCATGAAGGGAGCTAATACATTTAAATACATTATTTTATTTTCTAAGCTTAAGTTTCTACACCGTTTGGCGTCATATGTTGCCATCGCTGAAAATCACTCAGCATGTGCTGCGACCCTATGCCACTGTCTCGCAAGGACCATTTCGCGTGCTTGTGACGAATATTTTTCTCTTACCTTATTTTATTGTGATATTGTTTTAATTTGTTTTTTTTTTGTGTTTTTTATCTTTATTCACTTGTTTTTTTCGTGTCCTATATGAGTCTTAGACGCGAATAAATACTTTTTTGTTATTTTTAGTTATGACAACGCAACTGTGACTAAAAATGCCTACCAAAATCCAAAAGTATTTCATTTTCCTGGGTAGTATTTCATTGATATCTATACGTTTTTAGCAAAACTACCTCTTGTTTTCGGTGAAAAAATCTATTTATGATAGAATATAATTATTACACAGTAAGAGTTAGTCAATCAAGTATAGAGAAAATGCCAGAAGGTGTAAACTTACCAATAAGTTGTTGGTGTGGTACTCGGCTGAAGACAGTTCAGCTTTCGGGTCTTTCCATAGCGCCTGAGGCACTGAGGTGGACACCCATTTCTCTGAACGAGCCTTCGGGTTCTTGATCACTTGCTTCAAGTATTTCAATAGAGTTGGGCCTATGAAAGAAAAATATAAAAAATAACATTCCAACTGCTGTCTGGAAACTGTAAAATGAAAATTCTTTCCCAGGTCACCGCTGACGATAAGTTGTTAACTTTTTGACATTTGAGGTAATAGCTCAACAGGAATCTGGCTGTGATCCAAATGGTCATATGCAGATAATCCCTACGGTCATATGATCACTCGTGTAAGTTTGAAGTATTACAAAAATACAGTACTTACAGTATCAATTTAATATTCCTCAATCGAGTGAACTGAATCGAAAATAAGAATTAATTAAGTACTAATCATTTTAAAATCAAAGTAACAGATCAAAGATATCAAATATTTATTCGAAACATAAAGTTCGAAAAGTGTATTTTGTGATTGAAGTTAACGTTTTAGATCAACAAATTAGAGAAATTACAGGAAAGGATAATAAACAAGAGTTATTTGAAAATGGCGAGTTTGTTAAGCAACTTTTCAAACGTTAATAACTTTGTACTTGAGGAAGTTTAAGATTTTCAAGCGGCATTTGTTTTTAACACCGAAATGTGTCATTTGGAAAATATAATTGAGAATATAAAGAAGAAGTGTAACTTAAACGAGATTCAATAAAAACAATTTATCAAACTTAGAAAAGTAGAGACTGCTACTTATAACGAAAAGGCAGAATAGTTAGTTATTTAAAAATGTATTAAAAAATCTTGGTACAAAAGGGTTCCTTACCAGCCTCGGCGATGTAACGGGAGTGGTAAGCTATGTTGGAGCAAGGAACCTCCTTAGCGAAGATACCCTGAGCAGAGAGCTTGGCAACGAAGTTCTTCATGATGTCAGCAGGGCCAGAGATGGTACTAGAGTCTGGTCCGTTGTGGCATGCCACTTCAATCTCCGGTGGGCACATGGATTTGATCTAAAGAATTTCGATATATTATACATAGATAGTTACAGTTTCAGCCTTCAATAGAAAACTAGTTAAAATTTAATAGTGGCATTGAGAAAGGACGTGAGTACAAAACTAGATACATTAGTTTGTAAAAAGTAAAAGATATTGTGGAAAACACGAGGTCAAATTAAATTTACAATGGCGATGCGTCTTTTTTCGGTTTTCGTTAAATATTTAGCAGTCAAATATCAGGCCTACATCACTCATACTCAAAGTATAACATCATAAGCTTAAAATTTCCATAAATACCTGGTTGTAACTAAGACCGACGGCAGCCATGGATCCCTTGATGAAGGGAGTTTCAATGGAAGCCAAGCCTCTGCTGTATGCAGACAAGATCATCTCTTCGGCGGTGAAGCAGCCATCGGCGTAAGCACAACCAAGCTCACCGACACTGTGTCCTATAGAAATGACAATAACGAATCAGATAATGGGCCAAACATTGCTTCTAAAAAGGTCAAGAGTGGAAGAAAAGGTATCAAGAATAACTCCGTTCGAACGACTTGTAGTCTTTGACTGGGGCTGGCATGACATCATTGTTATTAACTAGAGAAGCCATATATAAATGTTCAGACATCAAACATCAAACAAAATTGTAGATTTACAGTAAACTACCAAATCACTGATAGAAATTGAACTCACCAATGATGTAATCAGGTTCGACGCCAATGGTCTTCAATACGTCAGTGAGACCGATCTGTACAGCGGCGATACCAATGAAGGAGTTGAGGATGTTATCGTAGATCTTAGGGTCGGGGTCAGTAATGATCTTCGTCAGATTGATGCCTTTAGGTTCTAGAGCTTTGTGGCACCTTGGAAAGTAAAAAAAGAAATTATTAATTATTTCAATTGAATACCTGCGCCTTGTTCTTCTAGAACAATTATTCTTAAAAGAAGAGTCTTAGAAAAGCTTACTTCTCAATAGCAGCAGCGAAGACGGGGATCCTCATGAGCTCCTTGCCCATACCGGCCCACTGGGAGCCCATACCCGAGTACACGAACCACACTGGGCGACGTACTCCTGAGAAGTACTGGATCTCACGTGCTAGAGACACGCTTTTGGTGGGGGTTGAACCTAGGTGAAAAATTCAAATTAGATAACAGAAGAAGAATAAATTGCAACATAAGTAAATATTGCATTATATGTATCTTGACCATAAATATTTTTTATTTTAAAACCTTGCAGCCATTTTCAATATTACTGAAGTACTATATTCTCAAATTCATCATCAAGTTAGTTGTCTAACTCACCCAGCAGTGTGAATCCTCTGACAACATGTCCAGCAATGTCATCATCATGAATAGCGTGTAACAAACGGATCAGCTCAGCGTCTACTGTCCTGGACTCCAGGTCATCTAAGATCCTGGCAACTGCAGACTCTGTACGACCAGACACACAGGCGAGACGGGGCAAGTCGTCTGATGGAATACCGTTGTTGACCTGGTGAAGAAAATGTTTGGATAAAATGGGATTCCTTCAGTTAAAGACACTTTTATAAACTGGTGACTGGTGATGAAACTGACAAGGCCATGCATTACATGTTTCTTTCAGTTCTACTTTACGTCATCCAAAAAGGTCATTAAGCCGTGGAGGACACCACGTGGGTCACGCTAGCGGAGATTTTGCCCTCAATAGTTAATCGCTGGCAGTAAATTACTTAAAAGAGAACGCTATTCAATGTTTTCCTTGTCTAGGAAAGGATCACAAAGTTCATCTAGATAATACTCGTCCTACACAAAACTCGAGCTTCTTCTCAAAAAGTTCTAAGCAAAGAATTTAAATATTTAAATTATAATTAACATAGTATGACTAGACATTGGTGTGACTTTCACATTGTTCCCTACATAAAGGAACGAAAAAATTTAATCCACAATGTCGTGCCAGCTATGCAATGGGATTAGTTACGAATTTTACACGAAACTGCAATTTCTGATTTTACAGCTACGGAATACGTTTTAAATTTGCTTGAAGTACGACTGCAGGTAAGTTACCGTCAAGTGACCACTCACATTTTATACCCGAAGATTAGAATTGACGTGTTTAGTGAAACAGCTGAATAAAATTCTGCTAGGGATTGGAAGAAATGCGAAAGTAGTGTTTGAGAATCAAAGAATTGCTTTTATTCTCAGACAAGAAGGACACAACAGATAAGTTTTCCTACTTATGACATTGTATGATTCTTTCTTTACGTAACAGTATTCGTTGAATGGATAAAAAGAGGTATTTTTATTTTAAAACACTTCTCAGCAGTGATATGTTTTAAAAGTCTCTATTAATATTTGCACGGCTGGCGCGGTGGATGGGCAACTGGCTGTCACGCAATAAGTTGCGGGTTCGATTCCCGCACGGAACAACTTTTTCTGTAATCTAAAAATCGTTGTGCCGGGTCTGGGTAGGGGTTTATGTGATATTGTATGTTTATAAACGCACCCAAGACGACACATGAGTTAATCATCCATCCAACCATGTTGGGCAAGGTTTAGAAAAAATTGGAGTATCTCCGGACTGCATTACTTAATTAATTTTCCATTTAGAAAATAGAATATGAAAAAAGGACGCCCACAAAAAAGAAGATAACAAACCTACGTACTGTACAAACTTAATGAAAACGTCTATCAAGCTAATTGCCCGGCAGATTTCAATAAAAACATTCAGAAACTGATTTCATTTGATGTTCCATCACGAAAACAATAGGCCTTAAATAATCAATAGATTAGCAATCAAATCTGATCGAACTTCAAAACTTTGAAACTCAAAGTATTTTACTAAATGGAATTAATTACTGCGGCTTTAAAGTAAGACTGATACCAGATGATGGACAGAACAATTTACTGGTTAGTTTCTAACTCCACTTATTTATATATAGGGAAATTGCTTATTGAAATTCTGTGAAGGATTTCATAAGGGCCCCATTTATAGAGACGCAGCGCTTTGCGCGACGCATCGTGCGTTTGTGCTATATTTTTTATGTAATTGGCCAGCAAGTAAGGTTTTTTGTGTCATGGTAGCCCGGAGGTATGGGTGCCCACTTTTAATAATGCTCAACCCTTCTCCGTGTGAGAAAAAGCCTTTACTCAGCATTAGCAACTCATAGGCTGATGATGATGAGGTCAGCAAACGAGCCGACAGATAACCTGATGGTAAGTAATCAGCGCCGTCCATGAACAATCGTAATCGTATAGGAGGCGTTGCCGACCTCTTGTAGGTTGTTAGGCATTTAGGGATGGCTGATTTAAGGTTAAAAGATAGGGGAGGGGGGGTTAGGCTTCTGATAACCTCATCACATAGTGAAACTGCGTCGTATGACGCCCGGCGTGTACGAGGTCTATGTCTACATTTGTGACTGGTTTTCTTTAATAAGGTGACTTTGATAAGTGGGCGGGTAAATACCTCTTTATTATTTCGTGGAAATTCTGCTATGCTATTTATAGCTTCCAGACCAATTATATGAGAATTATATAAATATCATTTGATGAGAAAATATGGATTTCATATTACTTATGTAAGTATGATAGATTTGTGCTATTACTTGCTAAAACTGAAAATGAAGAAATCACTCTTGGTAACTCTTTTTAGTGTCATTGTTTTGATATTGTATGGTTTTACTTTACAATGACAATTTTTTTAACTAAGAAGTTTTTACTCCACAAGTTTATGCAAAGTTGCCATAGCTTAGGATTGTTTGCTGAAAGTATCACTTTTGATGAATTGACCTTGAAAACACTTAATTTCTTGTACCCAATGCCGTATCTATTAGAAAATTCTTTACAAATAATATTTTACTATTATACTTATCGTTTCTACCTATTTGATCTATCTGTATCATTTCTTACCTTTGCTCTCGCGACATCCTTTAAAAGAGCGTGAGCGTTGGCTCCTCCGAATCCGAAACTGTTGACTCCTGACATGCCCCTGCCCCAGGGTGTCTTGTCAGTCACTACTGAGAGCCTCTTCTCAGCCAGTGCTGCTACTCCTTCACGAGGCACATTGTAGTTCAAGTTGGGGGGAATGTAACCAGTGCTGTAGGCGATACACATCTGTAAACAGAAGGGTTTGTTAATAATTGCCGATTTGTTTTAGTTATTTTAAATACCTTCATTATTTTCTTGTACATTCTTACAGGTATTCTGAATGTAGCTATAATAGTGGATGTCTCTAAAGATGATACTAAATAGGGTTTGTAAAAGTTAACAATAGCAAACATGTTTGAATAAACAGAAACTTATAATAATGATTGAATAGATTAAAAATATCTGGTGTTAAGTTGGATCTCCATGTTTTTATTCCTAAACGGGGATTGTGGACTAGGCGTAATAAGACAAACTTAAGGCGTTAAGTATTATCTTCATGTTTTTCATGAATAAACCGGGGTTTCGGGCCAAACGCAATAATATTGCGGCTCCGGCTTGGAGTAGGAGAAAGAACAGGATAGTTTTTAGTCAATAATAGTCTGGCACTCCCTTTTGTGAGGTGGGCGAGAGAAGACCTAGTCAGAGAGATTTTCCCACTCAGAAAAAAATCTTTTAATTTCAAAAACATTAACTTCTCATAATTGTTACTATAAGACGTTCAACCTCATACTATAATTACCTTTAACCAGTGAAATAATTTTAATATTCATAAAGTATTCATAGAATATACCGCACATGACGTCGTCACGTCATTACAAGCCAACTTAATTGGCGGAGATGACATATCTCAGCTCCATATGCCTGTGTTAATTAAAGCTTAAACGTATGACGTTGCAGTATATGTATTGGCAAGTGGATACACTGTTTAGAGAAGAAGATTGAAGGTAGAATCGCAATGTGAATGAAGAAACAATGTGTGAATAGAAAAGGGTTGAAGTTTTGCTTCTTGTAACAATAAAGAAAGTATTGGTATTGTTTGAAACAGAGTCATTCAAAAAGTTTAAAAACCTGCAAAATATATAGGAGATTGTCACCAAGTATTTGACAAAAGAGGGAATTTTTTTGTCGGATTGCGCATTTGTGACGCAAATCCAACTTTTAATCCGAATAAAATAATTATCTTCCATCAGAGTTAATTCTGTTAAAACGCCCCAAGGATTACCCTCATTGGATCTGCAACGTCCAATTCTCTTGAGAACAGGCTGCTCTCAATCCTATCAGAGAAAACTGTCGCGTTGTAATTAATGCTTCTTGCGACAAAGTTACTTTATAATTTATGTGTATGTGTGTCGTCTAAACGTATGCTTGATTAGTCTTTATCGTGTTTTGTGCTAGGAATTCGCTTTGTCGTTTGAGTGATTTTCCAAATAGAATTTAATTTTGTAGCGGCTGTTTCTATTATTTTCCGTTGTTCTTCTTTTTATCTAAAATTTTAATTCTTCTTTTGACATGTAATGTGGTATTTGCGTTTTATTACAGTAGTATGGTGCTTTGATGAACCATATTTAATTATAATCATTAACACTTTTTTTCAAAATTATCTCCTTTTTTTATTTCTCTCTTTCTCTTAAGCTTCTTTGGACAATAATAATTAATTCATCAATAAGTACAATAAATTGACCATATTACCTATGTTATTATTTTATCGAATATCTTACCTTAGCAATAGAGCAGAGACCGGAGGCAGGCTCACTGTGTCCTAAGTTGGACTTGATGGATCCGATCAAGAGTGGATCCTTGCGACCGGTACAGAAAATCTCATCAATAGCCAGCAATTCCTCGGGATCACCGACTCTGGTACCTGGCAAGGAGAAAGCATTTATTAATTTTAAAAAAGATCTTTATAAGAACAATTGACAGAAAATTACTCGTTGTAATTAGCTCAGTGATACTATGAATATAGCTTTAAATATTCAAGACACAATTTACTCAAAATCAAGTCTCTACTTAATGAGTTCAAAAACACCTTTTATGAAGCATTTAGTACAGAAATTAAATTAATATGAGACTTCGCCGTAAAGGTATACTTTCATGCCCTTTCAGTTATATTATTAATTGAATAATTATATTTAATTATCTTGAGAGCATTTTGTCTTAAAGGAAATTAATGAAGTTATATTTTATCGATACATTATGAAAGTAGTAGACCGACAGAACGAAAGTACGTCTCTCAAATACAAAATAATGAAAAATTATCGGGACGAATGTTCCCTATTAGGGACGTTTTTTCGATACAAATAAATTGTATTGTATTGACTTATTTCTTTATCTAATGATTGAAATAGGCTTCTTTCTGTAATATTATATTGATAAATATAGCTTTTGATTCTTTGCAAGCTGGTATCGAGCCTGCGTGCTCAAGTCAAAGCATTACGCTGAGCTCTGACCATGGTATGACGTACATTTTTATTTAATTGTTTCTCTTTTCATAACCTTTTTGCTATGCATGTATATTAAAAAAGTAACAAACAGTTCTTGATTTTCTCCCTACCTTTTACTCCTATCTGTTTAAGGCTTTGCCTGAGTAAAATTAAGATTCTTTTAAATTCTGATTCTAAAGGTATATTTTCTCATCAAAGTTCAAGCAAACGCCGTCATTCGCGCTTCTATATTGTCTCATATTGAAAGGTTAAGAAAAGTATTCATGTCGCAGTAGGTAAACTAACACGAAATTAGATTATAAAAAAGATCATATAAAAAAATATTGAATTAAAATGGCTGATATAAACAATTGATTTCTGCAGCAAGTAAACATAAAAGTGTACGTTTTCTGTAAAAGGCAAAAGTGCCATAAAGAGCACATTCGCAGCGAATACACCAGTTTTGGCAGCGAAACAATGCGAGACTTTTGAATGGCAAGTCACTGGCTTCCAACTAGTTTTGCAAAGAAAATATCTAGGTCATGAGTGATGTTTTTTGCCTGTTGAATTGGCTACCTAAATACTGAATGTAATAACAAACAGGTTTCTATGAATTTAGGTCAGGATTATGCGTTATGATAGCTAGCTAGATATGATAGCGTAGTTATTTCAGAAACATTAGCTAATCAAGAATATTTCGAAGTGTGAATGTTTTTTTTATTTTAATAAATACTTAGTAGTCGAAATGTTTTTATATTTTCCTAAGTACCCGTAAAATGTAACGTTGTAAAATGGCACTTATGTTTTTGTAAAAAGTATTACTTTCAAATTGAAGTGACAGTTATTGAGTTAGTGTACAAGCTTAAAAGGCCACTGCCTATGGACCTATCTAAATTGTAGATATAACGTAGTTGAAGTGACATATCACACAAACCTACATAGTAAGTTTCTTTTCCGTGGTCTAGATCAAGAAAATAAAATGGAAAATATTACTTCATACTTTTGATTTCACATAGTCAACAAAGTGAAAACTTACTGTCAAAAAGGATGGAAAATAAGAAGTACTTACAAGAATTTCTAGCGAATTATGTAGGTACGGAAGTTTTCGGAATACCGACTAACTTTCAGGATATAAATATGGTAACTGACGCAGAAAAAAAACAGCCATGCTAAGTGTGGGAGAGCCATGCTTCGACACGAATGGGTCGGCTCGACCGGAGTGATACCACGGCCTCACAGAAAACCGGCGTGAAATAACCACAGCGATGTGTTTCGCCGTGTGAGTGAGGTTACCGGAGGCCCAATTCTTCCCCTCCCCCAATCCCTCCTCAATTCCTAAATCTCCAAATCCCTAATCCCTAAAAGGTCGGCAACGCACTCGTAACTCCTCCGTTGCGAGTGTTCATGGGCGGCGCTGATTGCTTACCATCAGGTAATCCGTCTGCACATTTGCCGATCGTTTACATAAAAAAAAATAGAAGACGATACTATGAACATAAATATAAATCCATAGAAAATACGCTAGTTCCAAATAGTCAAATTGAGTAATTTTATTGAAATTTCAAACACGATACTTTTCTATGAATTTTTTATGAGATCGTAACACATGACGCCATATTGTTTCGACATCAAATAGAATACTTATTACTAAAACAATGCTTGAACAATTTAAAACCTTATTACCTATGAATTGTAAACTCAAAATCATTTATTTTCGACCTTGAAAACTACCCAACGTAAATTTTAGCAATTTAGGTAGAGAGTATTAAATAAGCGTAGTTCTTATATACATACATATTTTACGAAAATATATTCTTAAGATCTTAATAATACAGACATTATATACTTCTAAGTAGGTACTAAACCTATATAAATATGAAGTTAGTTGCTACACGCATTTAGTGAAATAACTGTTACTGGCCGGGGGCAGGAATGGTTGGCTTGTTCCAAGCATTTTGTCGGTTATTTGTCAAAGTTAGGGAGCTGGATATAAATATCCCCCACTCGGGTCCCGACGCAACTGACAGTTTTATATAGAAACAGAGAATTGTGGGTTCGTGGGCATACAAACTTAATCCGTCTAGTAAACCTCGTTTTCGTATTGTGAAGTAATGTACCAAAGAGTCTGTATGTGAATTTGATTTAAAAAGAGTTTACCATGGAGTTTCTTGCTCGTTCTTCTCCATCGGTCTACACCTTGGAACGAGCAAATAGCTTCACTAAGAGGAGGTTTTGTTTGACATTTAAAAGTGCCTGTAAAGGTCTAATCGAAATAAATGGTTTAGACTTTGAAGCAATATTCAAAAAAAGAATATCGCTGTACACATGTGAAAAGTTATTTGTGAAAACTCCTATGTGTAATCCTACTAATATCGAAACGCGAATGTTTGTAAGTACGGCTGAATGAATGGATATTTATTACTCTTTCGCGTAAAAACTTCTGAATGAAATCATTAGACATAGACATTAATTATAGTCTGGAATAACACATACTTAGCTACTGTTATTTTTATACTGAAGTTACGGGCGAAACCGTTGGCTGAAGCAATTAAAATGTTTGTGCTTATATTTTTTTTGTAATCGATACGTTTCTTCATGTCGAGTGTTTGTATGTATAATGCATCTATTTTAGACAATATTGAGTAACTCCGTTTACCCTTCAAAGGGGTGAGCAGAGGTGCATAATAATTATCATTTACACAATCTAGAACTCTTTTTCAATCAATCATCTTTTAGTATTCACCTTTGACTTTATTACTAGTATAAAGTATACCACTTTGATTACTTATGTATCAGGCAAACTTTATTTGTGCATTTATTTATTAAAAATAAATCCATTTTACACGTAGGTACTAAAGATAAGATAATGGATGGCAACACAAATATACCTACTATTTGGAATGTGCCATCCGAATGTTTTAGCAATCAAAATGTTTTGAAAGCTTGTAAAACTTTACTTTTATTTTCAACAGTTATGAGTGGGCGACGTTTTTGTCGTAAAAATGTTTTATTCCATATTTTACGTTGAAATATTATATTTCCTGCAGCAGCGGTGTGTTTCTGGTTTAGAAAAATGTGGTTGCCACGTATATTTATTTTATACGTTCATGAATATGTTAATAGGAAACTCTATTGTAATATACTTACAGGAAAGGATAGAAAAATCTGTTTTTGTATAACATTTTGCTTGTAATTCGGTTCACGTAATTCAGTGGATATTATTTTTATTTCTTTTTTTATCCCCTCATTCCCTATTTTTGATTTCAAAATTCTCAACATTCGAATGGTTTAGTACTGTGTCCCGTATAGGATCACATTGGGATCGTGTCCTATTAAAACAAAAAGCGCGCACGCACTGCGTATAATGTCAAAACAAATACAAGATGGCCGACTATCCCGCCATTTTGTTAACTGCATTTTCGTATTCAGTTTTATAAATTATAACCACATGGTAGCACAGGTCCGCATTAATTGCGAAACTTGTCGACGTTCTAACTCTTTAATGAGGCCAGCAAAACGGTCAGTGTAAATATGAAAAAGCGGGAACAAACAAAACTAATTGTTAGTACTTGAGATTCTATGTACCTTTTTACCTTTCGGCAGCCATTTTAGTTTTACAACTCGTTTACAAATAGAACTCGTGGCTTCAGGAAATGTAAGTGTTGGTTATAATCGTTTTAACGGTCATTCGTGCGCTGTCAGCCATTTTTAAATGTTCATGTTTATTTTTTGGAAGTCAATGTTTTCCTTATTGTTATTACTAGATACGGAAAATGTGTCTTGCAGTAGATTTTTACATAGTATTTTTTACAGAGTACGGTACCTTAATACAAATAGAAAAAATATTTTTAATAAAATGAGCGTTGCTATAATGCCTTTTAATAAACCAGGACATAATTATACAAACTCGCATTCCAGTTGTTATTGAAAAATATAAAAGAGCCAATAACGAAATGGGCAATTCCATTGAAATAACACGCGACTTTAATAAAGAAGTTTCTTAGGTCATTTAAATTTTCGTTACAACGAATTATGTACTTAAATAAAATCTTACTTTTATTCATTGATATTATGTAATTAATTGATATGATACGTCACTCATTTATTGAAAATATGTTTGTTATTTGACGTCAAAACATTACGACGTCACAAGCATGAAAAGTATAGTTTATGATATTTCTATTGAAAACTACTGTGTGTGTAAACTGTAAGAAACCGCAAATGCCAGAAAATGTCCTTGAAAAAAGGCATACGATAACGCGCCTTAACGCTTGTTCCACACCGTCGTAAATCTCTTTAAACAACCATTACTACGGTAGCTCTTACAACCACTTCTCAATGAAAATTAATTTTTAATTCCTTGCTCCATTCGACAAAAGGTCTAAAGCACGAATCTTTTTACCGTAAACAATAGTCCCCTTTTAATTTCGTCCTAGTGCACCGGTAAGTCTGCTTGCCAACTTTTTCTATTTATTTCTCTCCCCATTTTTTTTTTTCATTCTCTCTTTCCAAGTTTTCGCTTAACTCCGTCCAGTTAATGTGAAACTCTTATAGTGCAGATGCTTTTAAAGTTTTGCGAAATGGCTGGATTTGTGACTAATAAGGTGTTAAGCGTGGCAAATGGTCTATTTGACTTTCTTTATTTATTTCAGTAGCACTTAAGTCGTGTTTGCGAAACCAGCGGAATTTCGTGGAGGTTTTTTACGGGAGTTTTAGTTTGGACTGTGAAGCAACTTACAGAACTAACCGTACTTACTTATAGAAGCTAGTTTAAGTTTCACGCTTTTGGAAAAATGTGTTTTAAACCCATGAGAAAAATAAAATAATAACAAAGAATATTTAATTAAATTTTAAAAAATGATTTGAATACAGAATCTCAAAAAATATTTATGGCATGATCGTTGAGTTCCAAATTTAAATCAAATCTAGTGCGTGGTTTGCAACCTCTTTTACCACAAAATAATCCTCTAATTCTCATTTTTATTTCCATGCTTACAGGAAATGTTTCAGGGGAAAGTGAAATAGAATTCTATTTAGCCAGTAATAAATATTAAGGGCCAGAATTACATCGCCACCCTAAAGGTCAAAGGGCTCAATCTTGTCCCAAGGAATTATTGTGGTCAGCCGCTTTTAACCCTACCTTATTAGATACATAAGGACACTTTTATAGAACCCTATACGTTATAATTAACTGTCTAGCCGAAGGTATTTGTGGAAATAATACTTTTTGGATGGACATAGATGATTTTAGATTGGTCGGTTAGAAAAAACCTATTGAAGAACAGAAATTTTGTTTTACGGATATCTAAATTATTGTTCTTAGTAAGTGATATGTTTTAACGATTTGTTTTCTGTATTATTGATAAAACAGATCAGCTTACAAAAATCAGAAGTTTGTGGACGAAAACAGTACCTTACGAATTGATCACGCTGTACAGACACAGTAAAATCCTTAAGTATTTATTTTCCTCTTGATTTAGAGGAGGGGTTATTGCAGTATATAGGTATTTTATTTCCATTTTTTAGAAAATGGGTTTTATTTTTCAGCCATATTAGTAAAAAAGAAAAATTGAACGTACCTGTGCCGTGAGCTTCTACGAACTCCAAAATAGACGGAGGGATGGAGCACTCCTCGTAGAACTCTCTGAGGAGCAGCTTCTGAATGTGACCAGCTGGGTACGTGATACCTTGTTCTTTGTAACCATCGCAGTTGGTCTTAGCGTGTAGGAGCTGAGCGTAGACCCTGATCAGATAAGCATTGAATTGTAGAAGCAAATACAAATACAAAATTATGTGTGGGAGAGCCATGCTTCGGCACAAATGGGTCGGCTCGACCGGAGTGATACCACGGCCTCTCAGAAAACCGGCGTAAAATAACTACAACGTTGTATTTCGCCGTGTGAGTGAGGTTACCGGAGGCCCAATCTTTCCCCTCCCCCAATCCCTCCTCAATCCCTGAATCTCCAAATCCCTAATCCCTATAAGGTCGGCAACGCAATCGTAACTCCTCCGTTTCAAGTGTCCATGGGCGGCGCTGATTGCTTGCCATCAGGTAATCCGCCTGCTCGTTTGCCGACTTATCACATAAAAAAAATGTACTTTGTTTCAATTTCTATGAAAAATTTTGAAAGAGAAAAGAACTTAGAAGATGACTCACCTTCTGGAATCTTTAGCCTTTTGCAAGAAGACCACAACAATGGCTTCTGAACGAGCGTAACCGTTGGCACTGTTGTCGAAACTCTTACATCTACCGTCGGGTGATAACACTCCCAATCTAGAAAAATAGAGGATATTTTAATGCTTACTGCAAAATATGTCTTATTTCTAGAATATTAGGGACGCAAACGTATATCTTTCATTCACAGCCCATTTGTAACCTTTATCCTAAACTCCAAAACATTTCTTCACAGTCTGCATTCTAGAATTTTTAACGTGTCTGCAAAAGTCTGCTTCAGAAATAAATAATGTTGCGCCCACGTTAGCACCACATTAACTTTACTTAGTGAGCAAAAACTTGCAACACTGAGACTTTTAGGTCACTCACAGCTTACATTTTTAATGCATTTTTCTACACAAAGGTGAGATGTGATTTTCGTCGAACGTATGAAGAGTTTATATTAGCTTTTATGTATTTTTAGCTTTGAAATCTCAGAATTTAGTTTCAAATTTTACACGTGTTATTTTATTACTATTTTTGGCACTTAAAACTTCATTTAATCTTTTTTTACCTGGAGAACTGCAGTGATACGTAAGGATGAAGACACAAGTTGGACCCTCCGACGATGGCAGCGTCACAGTGACCGTCACGGATAGCCCTGAAGGCGTGCTCCAAAGCGTACAAGGAACTTGAACAGGCAGAGTCCACAGTGTATGAGGGACCAGTCACTCCCAACCAGTAGGAGATGCGGTTGGCCAACATGGCACGGGAACATCTGAAATGAACGAAATGATTAATTTCTTTACTTTTCTTGTTGGCTCAAGGACCCTAAGTGGATTATTATGGATAATCTTCCATTAGTTATAAAAAAAGAAAGCTCTGTTCCGATGTAGGATTTTCTCCTGTGTTGTTAGGTATACGCACCTACGACACACAACGATACGATTTCATACATATATTAATTTGTGAATTACATACGGGTGGGAATCGAGCCCGCGATATATTGCACGTTGGCTAGTCTGTTGTCCAGCCACCGCGTCAATTTCCCACTAATCAATTTTTTTTAGTTTAGTTTAGGTGAACAAGGAATTTGAACCTTATTGTGCTACAGTAATCGCACCTCATTATGCTTTCAGGACACTATAATGCTTCAACAATTTGATATTCCTCTATATTAAATACCATTATATCACTATGTCTAATTATTTCTATGAACCTATACCAGTGGTATTACAACGATCAGATCAAACTTCTTGTATAAGACAAGGAGCTCTATCGTGCAGCTATCAACTGCCAAAGGAATTCCATCAAATATATACTGATTTAAACTATGTATTGTACCGTTAACGAAACCACATGAAGCAATAACGTTTGAGTTCAAATTTCAATATCATGTTTCACGTCGATAGTTCGCTGTTAAATACTCAGTATATTACTTAAGTATAATTTTATCTTCATGATGGATTTTGAATTGGAAATTGTTTGCAAGACGTTATACCGTTTTGTTTTTCAAAGTTTTGACTCTGTCTAAGATTATAATGTGTACCATATTACCGAAGGTTTTAACCTCTAGCATTCCAATAAATGTTTCATCATCATCATCATCATTATCATAATCAGCCTGTAAGTGACCACGTTTGAGCTTTTTCTCCTTCCCACATAGAGAATTTTGTCGAATATTTTCTTTTTTTCTTTCATGTGTGACGATTACATGTGTCAATGGTGTCCAAATAAACTTAAAAAGTACACATGCAACTAAGAAACAGTCACATTGGTACTTGCCAGGTGTAGAATTTGCACATGAACGCGCGAGAAACACGCGCCTTAGCTTTCAAGCACGTGTTATTAAATTTATATAAATTATAGTACACTATATTTTAGTTTGGTTTTAACATAGTAAAGTTTAAAGTTTAAAGGCAAAGTCAAAAGTCGTTTATTTCAATTAGACTTTTGAGTAGGCACTTTTGAACGTCAAGCAAAAAAAGGAAAAACGTATTTCAAAAGCTTTAATTTTAAGCGGGTCAGTCTGTCCGTCTGTCCTCTAATGAAGCTATTTGTTCGTTCCAAAGTGTATATTTCTATGGAGAATGAGCAAGAAACTCCATGGTTACTCTTTTTCAATCAGTTTTACAATTCATAATATATTCATAATCGGTACTACCATAAGTATGATCTGTCATGAAGTCAAAAAGGGGCAATTTCTGCAATCGGTACAAGCGTATGCTACGTAGAACAAAGTTCTGTGTTGACTTTAAATGAGTGTACCTGTCAGCGAAAATATGAATCTGGCTTCGTGCCAGCGCTGTGTGCATACACGAGTACCGGCCTCTGTCTGAACAGGAACTCTAAATTATTAGTTGGTTTTAAATAAAAGTAAATTCTGTTAAGCTATTATTTGCCCAATGGGATCTGTTTTGCAAGGTCTGATTAAGTAACCTCACTCACACGGCGAAACACAACGCTGTGGCTGTTTCACGTTGGTTTTCTGTGAGGCCGTGGTATACTCCGGTCGAGCCGATCCATTCGTGCCGAAGCATGACTCTCCCACACTTAACATCCAATTACATTGTAAGTATGAACGTTTATTTAAAAAAAATATCTGTACACTTTACTTTGCCCTACAAAAATAAATTAAATTACTGCAATAAGCTTTCTATACCATCTAGAATAAAACTAAAAACGTGAGAGCATTCTAAGGAAACAACAAAATGGCGTTATAAAATAACTGTGACAAGTTTTAAACGCTTTTGTAGCCGAGCAATTGTAATAATGAACGCTGAACAAAGTTGGAGGCGCGAAGTTGCATTTAATCGCTTTAGCCTAGAACGATTATGTTCAAATGAAATGAATTAAATGACGATGCTGAACACTATAATCATTTCCATAAAGTTAGTTGAGATTAAGTTTTTGACTAAGAACTCTATGAAAATCCTTTTGACGTTATACTCATAAAAGTATAAACATTATCAATTTCAATGTGATAGGTCGGCAAACGAGCAGACGGATTACTTGGTAAGTAATCGGCGTAACCGAAAATGTTGTGGTGGTCCGGAAGCTTAAGGAACCCGCTTCTCATTCATGAGTTCAAAGAGGAGGTCAAAACCTGGCAAGTGCCAATGTGACTTTTTCCGAGTTATATGTACTTTCTATGACCACACTAAACATCGTGAGGAAACCTGGACTTATAATTTCTAATTATAAGTTCCGTGTGAGAAGAGGTCTTTGGTCAGCAGTGGGCTGATGAAGATGATCGGCGTATCCCGTAACACCAGTGGAGTTACGACTGCTTTGCTGGGCTTTTGAGGATTAGGATTTCGGAGATTCTGGAGTATACCTTAGCTCATTATTTAAAGGTTTGAAGGTCGTCACGTTTATATTTTTATAACTACCCAAAATATTGTGTAGTTAAGATACAAATGATTTGACTTATTTATTGTTCTATGGCCACAACTGCCAACCCTAACAAGGAGCCCTGGATTTTTTCGTTATCCATCTATTATGGTATCGGTTCTTACAAAAACTTTGTATACATTAAAATAGTTTCCAACTATTCAAATTCAATACAGTTATTGGAATTTAAAATATGATATCTTCTCTGAATTAAGTATGAAATTCTAACATAATAAAATGACGTCATAGTTTTATTTAAAAAATATGAACTAGTTTGTAAAATCTAAATTTAATTACATCATTATGAATCAATGAACGAAAGTATTCATCACAATTTTTCTTTTTTATACATAATTAATTGCATTGGAAATTCATAATAATTTATTTCATCGAACTCCATGACCCCTCTATTACTGACTAAGTTTATTTCGGTGCCACCAAATGTACTTATTCTATAATAAGAAATCGTTCACTCGATCCAAGCATCCGTTATAAAAAGTTAGATAAGGTTATTATTTAGATATTATTGACAACAATTTCCTTTGGAACTCTTTGAACAACGCTTAGTGAGTTGAGAAACTTGTAATCAAAAGCTAACGTCGGGAACAATTTTATTGGCTTTGTTTTTGTAAAGGAGAAACGATTAATACAAATATTTATACATACCTACTACTGTGGTTGATTTCATTGTTATTAATAAATAGAAATGTTTATTTTTTGATAACATTGTACTTAGAGTAATTTTATAATTATTTTAACTATTCTTATGCCACGATTTTGTTCAAAAAACACCAGCTAAAGACTAATGCCCGGTTTCCGAAACTCCGATCAATGTTAAAATCAACTAACTAGGCGTCAAATCTTTTGTCAAGTCATCTGATTGGTTGTTGATAATTTAGTCAACCAATCAGATGACTTGACAAGAGATTAAATTGATTTTAATATTGATCGGCCTTTCGGAAACCGGGTGTAAGTCAAGTGACCATTAAATGACACAGAAGAAAATCCTAGTGTGGAGCAAAAAAAAGACTGAGCATGATAATTAAACTAATACGGTCTAATTAGAAAACAAAGATTTTCTTTACCAGTTCTTGTATTTCGAATTGAAGGTATGTGAGAATAAGGTTCAAAATACAAGACCTGACTCAATGGTTTAAACTTAGACTAAAGATACATAAAGTTTTGTAACAAGGAAAATAGTGTAAAAATCTCTTAAGGTTAACCCATTGGTGGACTCTACCATGACTGTCGAGAAAGTGTTCACTTCCTTGATTAATCAAAGACTTCTTTGTGTATTTTTCGGTTGCTCCTATAAATTTCATTACATGTGTATGTAAAATTGTACGTTTGCAACCGCACCCACGAGACAGGAGAAAATCCTAATGTGGGACTTTATTTCGCGAAGAGAAGAGACGTAAAAATTCTTAAATTTTCGCAAAAAAATCCATTGGGCAATTGAAAACCGAAACTAAAATCACTTACTCGGCTCCATTAATGAAACCAAATATCGTATGGCAACCATTTTTGTTTCTCACATAGAAACTGTTCACAGAATCATGAGACTTACCCAGTAATACCGAAACCGTTGACCTGCATCTTTTCGTAGAACCATGTTTTCTCTGATTCTGAGAAACAAGCTCCAACAAACACACCGGTCTTTGTGTCGCGTAGTTCTTTTGGGTTCACACCTGTAGACAAAACACATTGTTTTATTACATCTACTTACAAATGAAGTTCAGAAAACTCTATTACAAATGTCTTGGCTTTCTTAATTTATTTTATATCAAACAACCTTTCATATAAAGTGTCTCTTGATTTTAAATTGTATTACATATCAACATACGCCTGAATAATATTGAGTAAATTTTTGGTATATCCGCAATCTCCGGAGCAAAATTTTATAACCTAAATTATTTTAAATTTATGGCTATAAATGAAAGAAATAAAATAAAACCAATAATAAACCATGTTCCCAATACTAAAAGACTCTTTTCAAAATGTAACATGAGTCCAGATAAAATCTACATTCAGCTAGACAAAGATGTAGCCCTCGTGAAAGCACTACGAGGAGCTACGAGTGCTTCTATTCATAATTCAACTTCAGAAACTAGATTAATGAAATGTTGATTAATATCGTGGAACGTACAGAGAATAAAAAGATATAAAAACTTAGTTGAAAAATTCAAGAGGGTCAATTTATTAAAATGAAATAAGGGTACTGAAGCCCTAAAGAACATAAAAAAATGGCAAAACAGTATCTAAGACTCAAGTCTGAGAAAAGTATGTGCTAAAGTTTGGATCGCCACCGAGTTACAAGTGCGTTGCCAACCAGCTTGTGTGCAGCAACAAATAAATGATTTGGCTTTGACTTATCAAACCCTAAATGTTTTAGACATCTTTTAAATATACCAATCCAATTTCTCGACATTTCTGCATGAGACTAGGCAGACATATTGTTTTGTCATTACCTTAACAAAGGCAGCAAAAACTTTTCGTTTGTCAGTGCTTGTCGATTATTCATCAGAAGGATTATCGAATGTCTCAGAATGTTTCGTGCTAAGCCTTATCTTGGTTTTTGAATTATTCAAGAGTAGATATTATTACTGTCATGTTGTAATATATTTACGTCGTGTTAGTCTGCAAAATATTACATTACAAATCCTGAATTTCAGATGAGAATCTTATTGCCTCGATATAATTAGTATTGGTGACGGTATTTAGAGAAAATATTGAATATAAATTGACTATTAGCACGAATGTTTATAAATGTGGAATCATGTTCGATTAATTTTTTGAAATACTTTACTAACTACATATACAGGTTTAATTAAAATACATTTTCTATATCATCTTAGTAGTTAGCAAGTCTCATCTACCTTTTACATTTCATCCAGACGACCATTTAATTTCTTGAGTCAACATTTGTTGGCGCCCAACGTGGGACATCAGTCGGTGGGCGCCAAGAACAATGTTGTCTAAAATTACATAGTAAAACCGTCGAATCTTGAATTTCTTGAACTACCAAAGAAATCTACGTAATCGAGTCCACTTTTGAAGTTTTATTATCAAATTTGAATTCTTGGAGGCTGTCGCAAAGGCAATATTGAGTTATAATTACTCTGTGGAATGGAACTTTTAATGGATGTAAAGATAACAGAACGGTTTCTGGCGTGGTTCGAGAAATGACAGTTACAATTGCTTTATTGTGCCTTAGATAACAATTCTTATAAGTACTTCGACGAATTTATTTTTGATGTTCAAATTTTGTTTACTATTATAAATATTTTACGTTGAAGTCTGTATTTGTGGTATGTTGATTCTTTTTCAATACCGTCTAACAACTAAGAGTCGATTCAATCAAATTCTAAGACGTGTCGGCTTTTAAATAACAAAAAAGTCCTTTGTATTAGGCAATGACCTTGAGAACCAACGATATGTTTCACGCCCTAACAAACTATATACAATTTTACTGCTACTTTCACCTCTGCATTGTCTAAAGGCTGTCTCGACTGAGAGAGACTGCAAAACTTATTAAGTCCACCTATACCTATAGATTTTTAAGTATATACTTAGTTCTTAACAAATACATTTAAAGAAAATTAATCACGGAAAACTCCAACCACAAGTAATACCTACTTTCCGTTTCTCACAATCGTACCTTTTGAACTTGGACCTTCCATAAATAAAAAGAAATTTAATGAGCTCATTTTAAATGCAATGTGCCATACAGTATCTGGCTCTCTGTCAAACGAATTTGTGAATAGAAGCAACGGAAAGAACGGCAGCTTGCTTTTGACAAAAAAATCGGGCTTAATTGGAACACAGAATTAATGAGATCCATGTGTTTCTTTGAACATTGTGTGGCTGGGGCGCATCAAAGCAAGAGTACGTGTAGTCAACATGCCTGTTTTCATGTTGCCAGATGGCAGATAGACTGGCTTGTCCAGTTGATTTTGGAAATGAATTCTGAAGTCGGTCACAAATGTGTTTTGTGAACCAATTCTCTCTGTTGTGTTTAGGTTACGTTAAAAAGTATCTTTCCTTTTGCTATTTAACGGAATTCAAAATGTCAGTCATCTTCAAGTGAAAGTTTATTTTTAATTTTGAATAAACTACTCGCTTTTTTTAAAAACATTTCGTTGTATTATGTCTCAATAAAAGGCACATAGTACTTTACGCAAAAGTTTCTCTGTTAAGTTTAAAAGACCATTACATAACGAGGCAGTTAAGTAGCATAATTGACACTTCATTGACTCCCTATCCTGCTATAAATAAAGAAAACTCACAAGGAGTTCTGGATATTGCGTGGTCTGGTCTGCTACTTATGATTAAAGTTGTAATTGGCTCGGAAAACTCCCGACAGCTAATTGAAACTAAGTTGAGACGAGACGAGTTGGCAAGCAACGAGAAGTGTTGTGGAAATTATTTGGTACAATCTGTTTTGAATCACTATGTATAATCATTTTAGCATGATACAATATTCAGGGAAGTTTGTTAGTTTATGAATATGAGTCGCGCATGCTTTTAAAACATTGGTATAAATTTAATATTTGTAATGGAATGGCTATATGGTACATTTTGGTTGCTAAAAATTCTCATGGTAAACTTTTCTAAAAAATAAATAATTGCAACACAAAAACCTTAAAAAGTGTATTTAAATTTTATTTTTCAATACTTCATTATCGTATAAGATATTTAAAAGGACCGATACTCATTGTTTCAAATAGTCTCCTTTACAAATTTTCATTTTGAAATCCTCAAATAACATTTTGAGTTTAGGGTACGGTTCTAAAAGCATCTCCCGTGACGGATTTAATTCGTCCGAGTGGTTTGACTTGCCATATAGACAAATTGGCCTCATTGCCGCCAAAGAAAGGTGGCAATCGATTGAAATGCCTACATTGTGAGAAGTGGTGGCTGTGTTTACACCGAAGGTATGCGGAACAACCAACATTACAATTAAACACTTCTTTCCTTAGAACCTTCTTTTTTCTTTATACTTTCAACTAACATATCTGTACTTTTCCAACTAATCATATAATCTCGAAATTTTGATAAATATTTTTACATAAAAAATTCTAAATGCATTTTAATAAAATTTGACATAGAGATAAATTTTAGTCTGGATGTATTTACTATACTTAGGATAGTTTATGTAACAAATAACTTGTATCGACAGTATGAACTAGTTTCGAACAAACCCTTGTGTTGTTTGGTTAAATAACATTAAGTGGGAAACACGCTTTTTAAAATTGAATCCTAAAAAATGTCTGCAATGGTGTAAGACGAGGAATTTTAAAAGTTAACCAGAATCAATGTACTGATTGCGAGGGTGGGAGGGTTGCCAAAATGTTCCGTTTTCCATTCGGCTGATCACTCCTTAGGACTCCATTCTTTAATCTTAACTTACTGTATATTGGATTTTTCATCCAACCCAGTACCGACTAACGAATTGGTTAATAATTTTCAAATTCCATTACCAAATCCTGATTGTGCGTCACTTTTCCAGTTATAGCTGTGGCTGGGGAAATATCTTTCCTTTTTATTCCCCTGTATTTTCCCTTTCAATATTTCTATTTGTATAGACAATATTACGGATAGTTGGGTTTTCTATTTCCTTGACAACATAAGCTCTTTCGTTTTCTTGCCGAAGATTGGTATTACAGTAAATAAAATCTATATAACAGAGAGCGGCTTAGTACTATACAGTTGGACGTGAACTCGAATCTACAGAGCATTGAATCTCGATTTTAGCTTGCACCTTATTCTGTTCTTTTTGAGGGAAAGCTTCGTCTATATAGTTTTCTTAAAGTAATATTTTTGCTTTAGTATGTTTCATTTAGATAATTATGCTTATCCTTAGCTCTAACAAAAATGTTATGTCGTCTATTGATTTTTTGTTTTGTTTTGTAAGAAGCCTTATTTCATTTTTTAGGTATTTTAGGGAAAACCGTCAAAATTATTGATTAAACAAACTCTAAAACTAATGTTAGAATTAAAATAAAACTCACCAGCATCAATGACGGCTTCGTAAGCCTTTTCCAGCAGGATCCTGCACATAGGGTCCATGGTGTGAGCTTGTTTGTAATGGACACCAAAGAAGGACGCATCGAATTTGTTGACATTGTTGATCTTGCCAGTACGCTGTGGAATCTCAGGGTGGGCCAGCTTCCAACGACGAGCATCACCGGAGATTAAGTCCACCTGCGAAGAATGATTAATGATATAGCACCTACGTACGTGACAACATGAGAAAACAGGAACAGAGCATAGCACCTGCGTTTAAGTAATCACTTATGCAGTAAAGTATATTTTGAATATATTCAAACTGCACTCACTGACTGCACGGTTAGCGCAGTAGCTAAACAACTAGCTGCTGTGTAACATGCCGCGGTTTCAACTCCCGCAAGGAACTTTGTGTGTTCTTTGTGTTGATCCACATATTGTTGTTTCGAGTCTGGGTAGCCATTGTAGGTGAAATGGTATATCTTTAAACGCAACCACCCACATAGGAGAAATTCTGTGGAACAGGAGAAGGAGAGAGGAGAACTCAAGGGTTTTTTTTTTTTTTTGTGAGGGGAAAATCATCAAATGACTTCTCCCGCCCAGGGCCGGGCAGGAGGGAGTGTCAGACTCTTACTGACTTAAAACCCCCCTGTTCCTTCTCCTGCTCTGTGCCGAGGTCGCGGTGCCTCATTGCGCTTACCCCGCAACCCCGGCTGAACATCAGCCCTTTAGGGCCCCGTCTGTGGTGGTCGTATGGCTCTTTGAGGCGCGCGCGGAACGCTACGCGCCGTACGCTCGGGCCTGGTTCTGGTCGGGCGGCGAGCTGCCCTTACTCGCCGACCAGAGGCCCGTGCCTACGGTGACCGGAGATCGTCCCTCGATCCCCGACGCCCGTAGTGTCGCCAGTTGCGGCTGCTGGGGCGTGAGGAGGAGGATTGCTCCCTCACGCGGGCCGCCTCTCTCTTTGCGAGCATGACTGCTTCACAAAAGGAGGAGACGGCGTCCCAGTTCCTCTCACTCCGCACCATGGCCTCGACTAAGGCCGGGCGCGAGAGGTCGCCGCCGCCGATCACTTCCCTGAGGATACGGCGGTGCTCAGCCCAGGCAGGGCATACCGCTACCGTATGCTCCACCGTATCCTCTAGGTGATCCTCACAATGACGACACTCGGGCGTTTCCTCCCGCTGGATCCGAAACAGGAACCTACCGAAGCTGCCGTGCCCGGTAAGCACCTGCGTCAGACGGAAGGTGAGGACGCCGTGGCGTCTCTCAAGCCACTCCTCAAAGAGGGGTCTTACCGCTGCTATGGTAGCGTGCCCGGCCCTCGGTTGCGACAGTCGTTGTTTCCACTCTGCCATGAGATCTCGCCGGAGCTCATTCCGCCACGCACTAATTTGGCGCGGCAGAGGATCTTCGCCCCGGCGACGCGCGTCTGCGCGCAAACTGTAGACGCGCGCAAGCGCCTTCGCTTCTAGATCCCACGGCGGTGATCCGGCAAGGAGGTTCGCCGCCTCCCCGGAGATCGTGCGATATCCGCGGATTATTCGGATGGCCATGACCCTCTGGGACGCGACCAGCGTACGTGCCGGCCGCCGCTTCAAGTCCGGCGCCCACACAGGGGCACCGTAGAGGGCCATGGATCGCACAATCCCCATATACAACCTCCGGCAGGAGGCGTTTGGCCCCCCGAGGTTGGGAAGGAGCCGCTTGAGCGCGGCCCCAGACCGTTCCAACTTAGGGGCCAAACGACGAAAATGCTCTGTGAAGTTCCATCGGCTGTCGAGGACGAGACCCAGGTACTTCATCGCCGACTCGACGCCGATGGTAACTCCTCCTGCCGTTATTTGGGACCCACCTGGAGGTGGCGCGTTCCGACGGCCATAGAAACACATGGCCTCGGACTTGTGGAGCGCCACCTCGAGTCCCAACTGCCGGATCCTTGCAACGACTGTCGCAACCGCTTGTGACATCAGGTCGGCCGCCGCCTGATGCGACCTCCCGTTCGCCAGCACCAGCGTGTCGTCAGCATAACAGACAATGCTGACGCCGCTCGGGAGGTCGGTGCGTAGCACCCAATCGTACCCGATGTTCCACAGGAGAGGTCCCAGGACCGATCCCTGTGGGACACCGCGCGACACCTCTCGCCGATTCCACACGCCCCGGTGACCGGGGTAGATAACGCATCTATCCGTCAAGTAAGCCTCGACTACACGACGGAGATAGGCAGGCAGCCGGTGATACCGGAGTGCCTCCAGAATGCAGCTCCAGGGCAACGAATTGAAGGCGTAGAACTCAAGGGTGGGGCAACGATTAATAAAAATAAATTGAGATAAAAATCGTTTGGGAGACAATATGTGGTATGAGGACTAATTAATCAAATATTACCTAAAAATCAATTTTATCTGACCGACAGTGAAAATAATAAAAAAAAGTACTCCAACAACTTACCTTATTAAAAAGGTTTTCCTGCAGGTGTATGACGGAGTCCGAGTCGGGGAAGTATCCCGACACGCCTGTGATGAGGACCTCGTCTCCGGGCGGAGGATGCGACAGCCGGTGTCCCGACTGCAGCCTGTCCTCAGCTATTGTTGTCGGCGCCATCTTAAATTACATAAAGGTTATTAGGATATTGGATAAAGAATATTTTTTTCCAAAATGAGACTTGTCAATTCGATATTGCCCGTAACAATAATTTAAGGTACATCTGCAGTAGAATTTGATAGTCCTTAGCTGCGCTATGGGCCTCTTCCTAGTTAAGTAAAAAAAAAACAAAATAATCTATACTGGCGAGATATTATAAATAAAGTTATAAAGCACTAACCAAGCCCTTTGAGTATTATGAAGACTGATGCAGAACTAAGAAATGTAAAGAAAAAATAGGTACTTCTTATTTGCAGAGTTTAGGTCTAGACTTTTAATTCATGAGCGAGCGAACCATTTCATTCTCCGATTAATAAGTAACTGTATTTTTAAGCAAATCGAATCGCTATGGTAAATTCCGCATCGTACGTACGTCATTAGCGTTGTTTTAATGAATTAACTTGTTAATTTAACGTTAAACTTTTACACTGAAACGCTTGAATTTAAATATTTGCCCGACTTTGAATAATTTCAAGCGACGCATTAATAATTAATTTAAGTATGAATTGTAAATGATGTTTGTCAAAATAATACTGTGTGTGACAAAAATATCGGATGTTTTTTGCATAGGGATTGCTTTTTTATACTTACACCATTGCCTTTCTTTAATGGCATGTCTTTCTTAGATAATTTTATGAGATAGTACTTATGAATATATTATAACTGGACTAAGATCATAAGATAAGTAGTTACTTTTCTAAAATATGAAACTAGGGTTCTTCAAGGCAACGTGCTTGGCCCAATTATTTTTTTCCATAGGCATTAATATTCCAATATCAAATAGGTAGTCAATGTATATTAATGAAAGTCGAATAATTTTATTCGGGATCCAAGAATCAAAATAACTTATGTATCGACGCGCGCCTATTTTTAAATTTATTCTAAATTCATTTATAGCCTCGCGAATACTTTTTTTTAGATTGTACAGAGGCTTTCGTTGCCATGACGGTATTTTTGGTAAAGGTGTTATTCCATACACACATACGTATCCTAGCGATCGATTCCCATTGGGGCTGATAGAAACAATGGGATGCCAATATCACGATTCTGGGATACCTCTTGCGCTTCACCTATACGAGTACTTATTCATCTTCATACACACTCGTTGGAGAGGGTGTTTTTATAAAATCAGATTTTTAAATATCGCCTATTTGATTAATATACGTCTAGCAGACACTTTTATTTAAATACAAATATAATATTGAATCTTGATTGAACACGTGAATAAACGTTCCAGACGTTTTACAGTCACGTGTAGGTACCTCTTCAATATTCATTAAATGGTTACAATTTAACCGACTGTGTAAGTAGGTATTGTGTGTAACAATGGTAACTAACCCCATGTCAACACTACACTACTCTGCATAATGCCTACATTCATAATTTATATGAACATTTTAATAGAAATGCCTTCTTGGATTTGTTTGTAGTTCGGTCTAGCTACTAAATTAGTTAACGGAATTTTGTACCTATATTCGTACTTAAAACATGTTCCGACAGATCTAAATATATAATTATGTACTCAATAAACTTATGTGGACATACAAAGTAATATACATTTAGTGTTTTATCTGCCTTGAGTAAATTTATTTAGGTAGGTATTTAAAAGAGCTACTGACCTATTAACTCATATCAAACAGTCAAAATAATAAAACCTCATGTTTCTTTTTTGATAGAAATAGATTAGGTGCATTCCTGTTTTCTGATATTGTATGCAGTGAAACAAATAATACAATAAAAGAAGCTTCAAATCACAACAGGAAACAAAGATAAAATCAGAAAAACTGATAATGGAAGATAGAAAATAACCTGAAATCCTCTCAGAAACGGTATTACGGAGTTATTATATTATTCGATTTAGAAAAAATTGAGCTCATCACGCATTTCTTTATAAGCTTTTCATCTTATTTTGTAAAGACGACTAGGGACGACGTCATCGTATTTTTTATTAAATATTTTATGAATTTTACGAGTAAAAGGAATAAATATTGTAATGTCATGAGAAAATTTTTCACTTCATTTTTTATTCCCAAGGACAATAGCCCATAATAATATGTAAGTATAATTGGGCAATACTTTCTTTGACCAGTTGTAACTTCCAAACACATGGGGCTGACTGGCTAACAAGAGAACTGGTAAAGATTTTATTAAAAATACTGATTGTCTAAGGCTAACGAACTGATTGGTTAAGAACTCAGTAAAAATGAGATTAAAAAAAACGATTCCAAAACGAGTACTACACTAAAACACTTCATAAAAATAAGAAGTTTGTTTGAACACGCTAAGCTCTGGAACTACTGGTTCGAATTGAAACAAACTTTTGTGTTAGATAGATTGGGGAAGGCTTTAAGCTATAAACTATTAAGTTAAGATAGATAAGATCCGAGCAAAATGAGTAAAATCTCACAGAGGTAGCTAACTATAAAAGAATGCTCAGTGCTTTTGACTAACTCCAAAGACTAATTCTGGCAATGTGTCTATAAAATGTGCTACTATTGTAAGTCGCATTTACTATCTAATCCTTCTAAAATTGTTGGCAATTACACTTGCAAATACGTCGTATACAATATCCTACTTGAGTTATGTTCATTGCAATTTTAATACATCACAAATTATATAAAGAACTTTACCAGATCTATCTAGACCTATAAAAAATTTAAGACTTCACTCTATCTAAGAGATACCGTCACACCAATACCCTCAAACCAGTAAATCCTCCAGAAGCCTTTTAGTAATACGGTTCTATTTCCAGGTATTTTATTCGACTGGAAATCCTTAAGATATATTTCTGCAGCTCAAACTGATACAGTTTTATCGACTGTTTCCTTGGTAGCATTCAATTTACTAACTGACGGAATCTGTCTAGAGATTGTCTGTGATAGATTTCGAATTAGGCGGAATCGTCTCAATTTTGATTGATATTAAACTATTATTATGTTTAGCTTTGCTTCAACTGTTAGGCAAAGAAATCGACTAGGTTTAAGTCTGTTTAGGGGCTCATATTCTTAAATATCTACTGATCTGAAAGTTCGTTTGCTAAATTAGTATTATTTTTATTTATTGCTGTTTCGCGCCCAGGTGCTGACTGTAAACTTGCATAGGTAGAAAAAGAAAGATAAGAACTCCGTTTAAATATCTAAAAAATGGGTAAATCCTGGGTATAATGTGATATCAGGGAACGTGATATAGATGGTGGCGTTAATCCTTCTTTAGCAGCCAATGTTTGTAAGTATAGATTTATATGTATTAATAGTTTTTTTTAATATGAGCAGATCTGAAATAATTTCATAATTTATGTTTCCAATAAACTTTTTTCTTTAAAAACTCAGGGTACTCTTATAATAAAACAACACATATAGAATCTAAAAATAACTTAATACTATTTGCTTACTCAATTTTCTTATTTATTTTTTGTTGCACTTTACGTAAATAGTTATTTGAATAAATCTTTTATTTAACCAAATACATATTTATTTATTAACATCCACATCCACATTAGTGATTTGAACTAATGTTTTAACAACTTTTGAAGCGTATGTCAAGCAAATTACAAAATCCCAATTTAATCTAAAACTACGTACGAATACATACATAATACAATATAACGGTTACGATATAATCAAATACCTCATCCAAAATGAATGACATCGACCGATTTACATCAAAATAAATCGTAAATTTTGATCAGTAAACAAGACATATTATTCAAAGTAAGTAAATGTAAATCAATAGCAACGTAATTGACCTACGGGTTGTCGATTGTCACGGATACTGGTCCGATTCAATTTCACGGAAAATGTGTTTTTTTTACAGTATTTTAATATATATTTATAAGGCTATAGGTGTGTTATTGCGTTGAATCGTTAATATTTATGCACATGTATTATTTAAGGATGGGTTTTGTTGTTGATATTATAATAAACTATTGGAATGACTCTTTTAAAGAATGCGTTGACACTAAATAAATCCACCTCTTAATTTATTATTATTAAAACAAAAATAAAAGGCGTTAATAATAAGTAATTGTTGTTTCTAAAACTAAAGTTCTAAGATTCTGTTGACAAATAATATAAAATATAATTCCTAGTTTTTATGATTTTTTTTCTTTAGACTTGACTATTTCAGGGTTATTTGACGTTTTATTGATTTTTAGACAAAATTTAAACTAATTTCATTTCAATAATATTGATAGGTACAAGATATTTCCATCTATGGTACCGTGTGACTTTCGATTGTAATGTAATCTGCTAGTATATTCTTTTTCCTTTTAGATTAAGGAAGGTAATACTACTAGATATACCGCCATTGTCAATATTGGTAAAAAATACGAAACCAAGTGAACTATTAGAACCTTCGCAAATTTTAGGCATGTCGTTAGTTTGAAGTCAGAGCTTTTATGAGGATAAAAACTTTAATAGTCAATATAATATATCAACATTAAATTGCATTATTATAAATAAACATTTTTTCTACAACTTATGACTATAAAAATAAGAATTGAGTAACTATCATACAATTAAATTCGAATTCGAAATTTATTTATTCTAGTTTGGTAGACAGAAAATCAAAAACTTTTAATTGGAAGACTAATTGGTTATTTGTTATTAAAACTACTAGGTACAATTGCGTCATGGATACTTTGCAATGCGCAAATTGTGTTTTTTTTTTATTAAAAAGTTAACTTATGAAACATTCATACTTTTTTACAAACACGTGATTGAAATAGATTGTCTGTTTTTTTTTTATAACATTATGTACAATAGTTACCTACTTTCTATACATATAAACTCATGTACTTATTCGCCTTTCTATATTATTTCTATAAATTAAAAAAAAAAAACATTTATTTCGTACAGAAGTACTTTTGACTTTTGACTGCACGGTTGGCGCAGTGGCTGGGCAACTGGCTGCTGTGCAACGTGTCGCGGGTTCGATTCCCGCACGGAACAACAGTTTGTGTGATCCACAGATTGTTGTTTCGGTTCTGGGTGTTTTGTGTATGTGAATTTGTATGTTTCTAAACGCACCCACGATACAGGAGAAAATACTAGTGTGGGGCAACGTTTTAAAAGTAAAAAAAGAAGTCATAAAAAATTGTTTTTCTCAACTTCAACTTTCAACTTTACTCTTAGTTAACCGATTAGCTATTATCTAAATAGATTTTGTTTATGGGGGTATAAATCAGGATGCTTTATGAAGGTACCTACACGTTAACATTAGAAATGAAACCCACTTCAGTTTTAGCAATAATCCTGACTAGTACAATGGCTTACTATCACTTAATTAGGTTAAATTCATCAAACTAAATCAAATTAAAATCATTTATTCCAACTAAACCATAAATAGGTACTTTTGAAACGTCAAAATAGAGTATTAGTCTGTCAGTCTGTTCGTCAGTGAAGCTAGGTGCTCGTTCCCAATTATGGTTTCGAATGGAGAAGTAGGATTATAAATAAATATTGCTATTGCTATTCTATGGTGTCTTTAATTACTACGATTAACTTGTTAACTTAAGCTGGCGATAAATCTAGTAGTTTTCTAACTATCAGTAAAATTCAATATTTTTATTGAAATATCAAAAATGACACTTTTCTTAGGATAGGTATTGTATAAAATCACACGTCATAAAATATTTACCTACGTCAAAAAATAGAATAAGTACTTGATCATGAAATAGTAAATAGCAAAAAAAAAATTGAATCAAGTACTTAGATCGTTAAATCAATAAATGAAACTGTGGTTGTATTGTAATAATTCAACGTATTAAAATATAATATAATAATTTATTTATGAACTAGGAAAATATATGTAGTTGAATTGATGATTTTCTATCCTACATATATTACAAACACGAAAGCTTTTGAGTATGAAAGGAGGAATGAAATGAAATTTACTCAAAAAGAAATTTAAGGCAGAGACTGATTGACGTGGAGAATAACACATAGACTTCTTATTCTAGGTAACACGGCTGAAACTACTGGCGTAACCCTAGGGTTGCCAGGCAAAAACGAAAAATTGATATTGTACATAACTTGCAGCTTTAAAGCTTCATCATGGTATCACATTGAATTCCTACAAAAACCTAACATGAATTCAAAATCACACATTTCACTATTCTAATTATTATTTGTGTAACACTGGGAAAACACTTTCTTTAAAACTCAAAAAAAAAACAGATGAAAGTCAAATCTAAAAAAAAATATTTAAGAGAATCCGCACTTACCTTTCTATTTTCCTTTTACAAAATATATGAAATTTCACAGTCTAGAATCGATCCTAGGACGTGGATACCGGCAGCCGACAACCACTCGTCTGGACTCCGTGACGACCGCGATGTAGTATTTAAAACAAATGATTAAAAAAATTTACATACAGGCTGTTCACAAAAATACACTTTTTGACATTTCGTTATTATGTCATTGATAGCTTCGATAGAACGCTTTAGAACGGTTCTTTTTAAAAAAATATCTTTAAATATTTTTAGATTTGAAGTAAAACAAAATTATTTTTTATATTATAAAAACAGACAAAGAGCTTAATTCTCAAATTTGAATGCAAAAAATCCAGTTAAACATTAAAACAAATTAATTAGCTAGTGATCACGAACAAAAAAATCGCTTTTATTGAAATTTAATTATCTAAAAATAACTTTGAAAGGAACAGAGTGTTACCCGCGTAATTTCTTCGAAACATAAACTTAATGCCGATCGTCATGTCAGAAGATTAATAATTAACGCCAAACTTCAACATTCTCCAAGTTCTCAATAGTCTTGTAATCCCCCTTGAGTTTGACATTGTCACGTATTTTCAAATATGGAACTTGGAAATTTCGTTGAGCCATATTTAGATGGGGCGAGGGCGATAGGGCGAGGACACGATAACCCTAAGATCCGGCAACCTATTCTACTACCGGGAGGGCGAACAACTGTCCCAAGGTGGTGTCGGGTTCCTCGTCCACAGGTCCCTCGTCAACAACATTCTTACCATCGAAAGTGTGTCGAGCAGGGTGGCGTACCTGATACTCAGGGTATCCAATAGATACTCGTTGAAGGTTATCCAGGTTTATGCACCGACTTCGACACACCCAGACGAGGAAGTAGAGGTTATGTATGAGGACATAAGTAGGGCCATACATACTAATAAAACCTACTTCAATGTTGTTATGGGGGACTTCAACGCGAAACTGGGAACTCGAGGCGATAACGAGCTGAGAGTGGGGCAATTCGGGTATGGGCAACGGAACCACAGGGGACAGAGACTGGCTGAGTTCCTGGAGAAGGAGGACCTCTTTGCGATGAACTCCTTTTTCCAGAAGCCGTCTCACAGGAAATGGACCTGGATGAGCCCGGACGGTTCCACAAAAAATGAGATCGACTTCATCATGACAACAAAGCGACAGATGTTCAATGATGTCTCTGTGATCCATAAAGTAAAAACCGGCAGCGATCACCGACTGGTCAGAGGCACATTGAATATCAATATAAAGCTGGAAAGATCCCGTCTGATGAAGTCTACGCTCCGACCTTCAAATGCACATATCGGTTGTCCCGAGAGCTTTCAGATCGAGCTATCGAATCGTTTTGAGTCCCTGGAGAATTGCGAGTCAGTGGACGAGATTAGCAACAGGTTTGTAGAAACTGTCCATGCGGTCGGGTCGAAGTTTTTTAGACCCCGCCGAAAAGACAGACCGCAGAAGCTTACCGATCGCACCCTCAAACTCATGACAGAACGACGTGCTATGGTACTCCAGACCTCTGCCGATGCTAAAGCACATCGGCAGCTCAATAGACAAATATGGAAGTCCATGCGACACGATATCCGCAACTTTAACGCCAATAGGGTTAAAGAAGCGATAGAGCGGAACCAAGGCTCCAAAGTGTTCGCTAGGGACATGTCTATTGGGCAAACACAGCTGACGAAGCTGAAGGCGGAGGATGGCAGTGTGGCGTCGACGAAGGCCGAAGTTTTGGGTGAGATCGAGAGGTTTTATGGACAGTTATACACATCGGTCACTAAACCTGTTAGCTCAGTCGCCGATCCAAGAGCTAAACTCACCCGACACAATACCGAGGATATCCCGGACATCAGCCTATACGAGATTAGGATGGCCCTCAAGCAGCTCAAGAACAACAAGGCGCCGGGCGAGGACGGAATCACATCAGAGCTTCTGAAAGCGGGCGGAACGCCGGTACTGAGAGTCCTTCAGAAGCTCTTCAACTCCGTCATATTCGAAGGAGCAACGCCGGCGGCATGGAGCAGAAGTGTGGTGGTACTATTCTTCAAGAAGGGAGATAATACTCTACTGAAAAATTATAGACCCATCTCACTTCTGAGCCATGTCTACAAGCTATTCTCGAGGGTCATCACAAATCGTCTCACACGTAGGTTCGATGACTTCCAGCCTCCCGAACAAGCCGGTTTCCGGAAAGGCTATAGTACCATAGACCACATCCATACGCTGCGGCAAGTTATACAGAAGACCGAGGAGTATAACTTGCCACTATGCTTGGCGTTTGTGGACTATGAGAAGGCTTTTGATTCGATCGAGACTTGGGCTGTGTTAAGATCTCTCCAGCGGTGCCATATTGACTTTCGGTACATGGAGGTTTTGAAGTGCTTATACACAAACGCCACTATGTCGGTCCAAGTACAAAACCAGAGCACGAAGAATATTCCTCTGCAGCGAGGTGTAAGGCAAGGAGACGTCATATCTCCGAAACTGTTTACCGCTGCATTGGAAGACGCTTTCAAGCTCTTGGAATGGAAAGGATTTGGCATCAACATCAACGGCGAGTACATCACTCACCTCCGGTTTGCCGACGACATTGTAGTCATGGCAGAATCGCTGGAGGATCTGAGCACAATGCTCGATGACCTCTGTAGAGTTTCTCAACAGGTAGGGCTCCGAATGAACATGGACAAGACGAAAGTCATGGCAAACGCCCATGTCACGCCCTATCCGATATCAGTTGGGAGTTCTAACCTCGAAATTGTTGACGAATATGTATACCTGGGACAAGTGATCCAGCTAGGTAGGTCCAATTTCAAGAAGGAGGTCAATCGTCGAATCCAACTTGGATGGGCAGCGTTCGGGAAACTACGCAACATCTTCTCGTCCAACTTACCTCAGTGCCTTAAGACGAAAGTCTATAATCAATGTGTGTTACCAGCGATGACCTATGGAACTGAAACGTGGTCTCTTACTGTGGGCCTTATAAAGAAGCTCAAGGTCGCTCAGCGCGCTATGGAGAGGGCTATGCTCGGAGTTTCTTTGCGAGACCGTATAAAAAACGAGGATGTCCGCAAACGAACAAAGGTTTCCGACATAGCCCAGCGGATTAGTAAGTTGAAGTGGCAATGGGCAGGGCACATAGCGCGTAGAACCGACGGCCGCTGGGGCAGAAAGGTTCTCGAGTGGAGGCCACGTACCGGCAAGCGCAGCGTAGGACGTCCACCCGCAAGGTGGAAAGACGACCTGATTAAGGTCGCAGGAAGCCGCTGGATGCAGGTCGCTTCCAACCGGCCTATCTGGAAGTCAATGGGGGAGGCCTACGTTCAGCAGTGGACGTCCTATGGCTGATATGATGATATTTAGATGACATTTTCGAAGTAAGATAATAATTCCTGGAGATATGTTCGAGTGGTATCTTTGTTATGGTCACCGATAGCCAATAAATGTTGATATTATTCAACATTTGACACCACTGATCCAAACTTTTTTAAAAAGATACAAAAATAATTATCTTGTTAAAAGACAACTATATTTAAAACACATATTTATGTTTGCTCTGTCTCAACTCTCATTATAAATATTGTTAATTAACCTCAATCATACGTTATTATCACATATTGTTTACTTGTATGCCTGTGTTGATTTTAATAAATAAATATTTAGTTTCTGCTACAGCAAGATAAATAACAGCCTGTATACGGGTTACGTTTTGACTGTAACGTCAAACGTGTTGTAGTTAATTACAATTTCACTGTTTTCACAAAATTACTCGATAATGTTGCGATTACGCTAAAACCAATGAAAGATGCTTATTACTTAAATATCGCACCCACTGCTCGACTCCTACTGGTTGTAGCTTGATGTTTTATTGCCACTAGCCTCCCTCGTCAAATTAACCAACCAACAAAAAAACCACAACAGAAATGACTTCATTGATACCAAAATACTCTTCAAATAGCGATTACTATAGAACAGATTAAAATGTAATAACACTAAAACATGGTATAAAAATAAGTATTCCTTTCCTCGGAGTGAAATCATCCAATGGTTTTCCCCGCCCTGCGTGAGGCGAGAGGCACGCTCTTACTGACTAAAAACCACCCTGTATTTTCTGTTGTTCCAATGCCGTAGGTAATTATTAAATGGCTACATAAACGACACTACTGTAGAAGTCCATTCGCTAATTAAATGATATCAGTTTTTATCAGTAAATACTAGTTTTAATTTACTTCAATCCATGTAATCCATAAATTGGATTATACTAAACTATTTCGACAAATTACCATTTTGGTACCTAATCAAAATTTAAATAAAGTTCTACATAGACAAATCCAGTTTAATGTTCAACCTTACCTACTTACCAATAAAATAGACTTTACTACAAGTTCCCAATATTCCTGTTTCACTGTGACATTACGGCATTATAGTTGCTTTGTTTGTTAATGACATGTTTTCAGTTCATTTCCAAGCATCCCCTGACCTGCCACTCAATTACCATAAGCGTTTAACTAGTAGCCAGCGTATACGCTAAAATAACGTTAAATATACTATTTACTATCAAACACGAACGAAAAGTGTAATAGAGACAAAAATAAAAGTTGATTTAATATGACAGTTGCAAACTGCAACTTTCCCGCCAAAAGTAATGTCAACGCGTTTGTCACTTGTTTCGCATGTAGTTCAAATGTCAGGTTATTTGAAGGCAAAGGTCAACATGTCATTATGCCTATAAAGTTTCCATTGAAGTGAAAATAAAAATAAATTAGCGGTTTTACATTTTAGTGAGAATTTGATATCGAAATGTTTTTTTTTTTTTTTTGAGAAAATATTTAATCGACCTTTACAATTATTATTTATTTGCGAAATTTTTAAATCATTATAATTTGAATATGTTTTACGTTGGCAAAGGTCAAAAGGTATTTGTTGATTAAGTCGAACATACGTAACAACGAGTTCAGTTTATCAAGGACAGTTTAAATTTAATTATATTAAAAATATATTTAATGAATTCAAATACTGCTCGGTGAAATTACAATCATAAAAGTATGACTGTTATTTCGCTGCTTGGTGATT